ACTGTACAAATGACTACCAAAAATAAGTTATGAACTCACTTTAATGTGGGAAAAGATAAAAACAGCCAATAATATAGATATCTTTTTTTTTTTTATCTGACGAGTTGATCAAAAGACACATTCTAAACATAAAAAAGTTGTACTTTATTAGATTGTCTATGGAACGTTTACACACAAATATTGGGTAACTGTAAATAAGCATCACACATTTCAGCATGTACTTTGGTGAGGATTTCCACCACGAGACGTCTACCGGTTCAAGTTCTCACCCACCAGTTTTATAATGTGCTGTTATTCACTGCAATTATAGCTGCTCCCTGGTTGCATGTCTGACATATGTTTGCAGCTTCAACATGAGCAAACGCACCTTTCTTATGTCATCCTACTCAAAGCAACCTTAACTGGAGAATTAGGCCAGACTTGTGAGCAGGGAGCCTCCACACGTGCCTGCACAGACACAAGTGTGCATGATTTAAAGTTACGCAAAACTGCTCGTGTTGAGAAAGGGCATCTTGTCGTCAATCTTGAGACTGAAAAGCCTCGGGTTTGCTCTACTGTTTCCATTGTCATTCATCATGCATGCAGCTAGGGTCCAGTTTAGCACCTTTATATGTTCTCATATAGCACCATTTTTCATATATATTTAAAGTTTGTCAGGACCCTACTGTTGGCATGCACGAACGTCAAATTTAAATGTCATATTTCATCAGATATGTATCCTACATATTTCAACCTTTTAAAACATTACAAGGCAAATCAGGAATATTCATACTGTACCATACATGTTAAACAGAAACTAATACAGTACTCACGTGAAAAGAAAGTGCTACTAGACAGAACCATTTCTTTCTTGTTTTTGAGTCGTATAATATTCGAAGGCTCTACAGGAGGACACACTACATTACATTATCTAAAAGATACACCAAAACATTTTTTTTTTAATTTTGCCATCTTTTAAAATCATTTAACAAACACTGACACGTCTTAATTCCAACCGCAGATGGTCAACACAAAGATAAAAAGGAACAACTCAAGAACTTTTGTGAACAACCTTTGTTTTTTCTTTTTTAGAACGTCACATCACCCACACCACTATCAAGAACATATACAGAAGTGTATGCATCTCTGCTGTTATATTTTAATATTCCCCGAACTGAAATATTTTTCTATTTTGCTTTGTGTTTTTTTTCCCGTTTTATTCACGAGGTCACTTTGCCGCATTCGAAAAACACCTTTTCCCCGGTTCTTTTGTTTTCTAACACCATGCATACAAAATGTTACATTTTAGAGATGAAGGCAAACTACGTTGGAACGATAATTCGTAACCCTAAAGTCAATCATTACAACCACAGTGTAATGATTTTAAGGCCTATGGGTTGAAAACTGTGACTTCAGTACATGTTATGCATAACAGTCCAATTTCATGAATTCAAGTGTTTAGAGTAACTCAGATATAGCTGCAATATAGTAATCGCATTTTGAGATGGCCTTATAAATTGACATAGCTGTTTCCTCTAACACTACAGGAAAATAGACATCAACTTTCCCAAATAATTCCTTTAAAATTAAATACGCTGTTTCATCAGGGCGATAAATTGTGTACACTAGCAATATTTGTATACCACCTATACATAAAGCGAGAAAAACATCATACGAACACTGCTCTCTTCTGGTCATGCATTGCACATACACGTATAACAAGCATACTTCTACTCATTTCTTTGTTGGGAACAAACCTGTACTCAGATTTTTAAAGTACACACGGTTCATTAATTTTGCACCAGCTTTACACGCTTACTGCTTTATAGGTAAAAGAGGACAACCAGATGCTGCCATTCAAAGGTAACTTTCCAAATATTCTGATGCTCTTGGTAGAAAAAAGGATCATACCTTTTTCCAAACTTCCTACCTTCTAAATACATAAATCTGCATACTAGGCATTATGACCCAACATTAGTACATACTGCCTCCTCTAGCAGCCCTTATTGTAAGAAATCCGTGTGCAGACAATACAATACAATACAATCACAGACTGAATACTCTGTGTCAGTGATATGCTAACCAGACCCTTGAAATGACACATTGCAACCAAATCCGATTGAAAAGAACCAAGAAGCGCACAGAGCAAACAGATGAATGCACTTCTGAAAGGCTGAGGTGTTCGTTTGGGAGCACGATATGGGGTTCTCTTTGCAGTGGTAAAGCAGATGAAGCAGCTCAAAGTGCTGTTTGAATAAAGTGCTTCCTGTAGGAGGTGTCTGTTATAGATCAGCATCTTAACACTTACCCACAGAATGTACCCCTAATTCAGTTATATTCTTCTAAAACATAAATACTCACACACACACACACACACACGGAGAAAAAAAAGAGTGCCGAAACGAATTGCTTTTCCCGTCAACCGCACAGTAATTACAGTACAAATTAGGGCTGCACAATTAATCGGATTTCTAATCGTGATTACAATTAAGGATGCCACAATTACTTAATCGTTCAAAGCGGCAATTAATCGTTCACAGTCCACTTATGTTATTCTGCATGCTTAAGATGTGTTTTTTCTTTCTACATGTTATCTTAAGGGTTTTTCCCATTATTAAAATTTTTGTTTAGTATAACATTATAATACCATTCATATTTTTATAATTTAAAGAAGAAACCAATCCGATGTATAGTTGACATTTGAGGCTTAATACTATAGAAAAGCACTAAAGGTTTTTCAGTTAGAGTGTTTTCAGCTTGTTTATTTTCATATAAAAACACGGCATGCAGTTGCATGAAACAATGGTATAAACATCATTCAATGTAAATTGTGATAATCGTAATTAATAATCGCAATTTCAAGGGAATAATCGACAATTATGATTTTTGTCATAATCGTGCAGCCCTAGTACAAATAAACAGAAGCCAACTCGAGCCAGACCTAAAACCAATGAAAATACTCATTAGTTGTGCTTTAACGAGAAAACAACTGCCTAGATGCATGTATGTCCATGCCTCTAAATGCTACAACCCCAGGAAAAAAGTTTTACTAAAGGCAACTAGTTAACACATGCTGTGTGTTCATAGTAGTACACTACTGCTTATATTTTATTTGAATGAAATTCAGTATGCAAAATGCGTACTGTGCATAGTACGCCCAATTTCAGTGTAGATTTTAAAACTGTATACCAAAAAACCATTTCCCGCAACCCAATGAATTGGGTGTGAAGGACATCTGGGGATGCTGCAAATTGCTAGTTACTTTTCTCACATTTTCTCATACACTATTTAAAAAAAACTAATGATTACGTCTCAGTAATGCAGCGTGTATGATAATATGAAGTTTGAAACAGCTATTGTTTTGATAGGAATGACATCATGTCAAACGCATTTCAACATTTTAGGTCTGTGTAAATCCAGTGTAACAATCCTTTCAACATTTCACGCAAGACCACATAACCCTGCAAACCAAGCTAAACTAAATTCTGTTATTTTAAAACGAGCCTATTTGTTTGCTTTGCCTTTGCACAGCTCTCGTTTAAACCCACCGACAGGGAAAAATAAAATATTGCACACCTATCAAGAGTGATTTAGCATTTGTCTCATCAGGGAGATTGATTTCACTAAAACCTATATTTAAAGCCACTTTTAAAACGTTTAAAAAAGCGAATTTAGTGTGTCCGTTCATTTATGCTAAAGCATGGCCACACAATGTCATATATTTGATGCTTTAGGCTGATGATACACTGGGCAACTTTTTGAGCAATGTTGCCGGGCAACTTTGGATAATGTTGGCATCAACGGGCAACCAGGTCTAACCAATCTAAAATATCCAAATATAAATGTATTACCCATTCTCAATGGGAAAGTGTCCAAGCAACATTGCTCAAAAAAAAGTTGCCTGGCTAAATTGCTCAATAATTTACCCCGTGTATCATCAGACTTATAGTTCAAGCAGCCTCATCAGGTTAAGTATTTTTTGTATGTAAATAATTCATCCAAATAATGTAAATATTAATGCACTTTTTTGGTTCAAACGGGGAACACAGTATTTGTGCAATGGCAAAAATGTTGCAGTACTCTTGATCATTGAGACTAAAAAGAAAAGAAAAGCTTCACTTTGGACCATCAAAATACTCCGCACTCGTGTGCAGTGCATCTCTGATATAAGTGCTGGTTACACTTTATTTTGATAGTCCACTTTAGACATTCTACTAACTAGAAGTAACTTTGCAACTACATGTCTACTAACTCTCAGAGTGGACTGTTAGGTTAGGTTTAGTAGAATAATTTGACATATACTTGCAAAGTTCAGTATGTTGTAGACCCATCAAAATAAAGTGTTAGGCTGATGATACACTGGGCAACTTTTTGAGCAATGTTGCCAGCAACCAGGTGAGACACAGAGCCCACAATTGATCTAAAGTATCCAGATAGAAATGTGTTACCCATTCTCAATAGGAAAGTTCCCAAGCAACATTGCTCAAAAAAAGTTGCCCCGTGTATCATCAGCCTTAGAAGATATTAAGCAGACAGTCTACTAATACTCTAATGACTACTAGTTGGCATTTAGTTGCAAAGATACTTAATTTTAGGCTGATGATAAACGGGGCATCTTTTTAGAGCAATGTTGCTTGGGCACTTTCCCATTGAGAATGGGTAACACATTTCTATCTGGATACTTTAGGTCAATTGTGGGCTCTGTGTCTCACCTGGTTGCCCATTGATTAACCCAGCAATATTGCTCAAAAAGTTGCCCAGTGTATCATCAGCCTTAGAAGATATTAAGCAGACAGTCTACTAATACTCTAATGACTACTAGTTGGCATTTAGTTGCAAAGATACTTAATTTTAGGCTGATGATAAACGGGGCATCTTTTTAGAGCAATGTTGCTTGGGCACTTTCCCATTGAGAATGGGTAACACATTTCTATCTGGATACTTTTGATCAACCGTGGGCTCTGTGTCTCACCTGGTTGCCCATTGATTAACCCAGCAATATTGCTCAAAAAGTTGCTCCATGTATTATCAGCCTTAGTAGAATGTCTAAAGTGGACTATCAAAATAAAGTGTTACCTAAGTGCTTGATAAGACCTTGATTATTTGATTCCCAGCTTTGAGAAATTGCACAGCAGCCCTATACACGTTAAGCCTGGGAAGAAGTATTGGATGCAATAACACCAAATCCTAATGCACGCTCTCTCACAGACAGACAGACAGACAGACACACACACACACACACACACACACACACAGCAGAGCCGCTGCAGAATCTAGATTCTGCCTAGATTGAAATCGACAGTAGTGGGCATGAACGGGACGGGCCGCACGGTAACGTGTAGGGTGAGAACAGCATGAGACTAGAGGTACAACTAACACCAGAAGCATCATCATCATCATCATCATCAGAAGCAGAAGCAGCAGCGTGCGTCAATCCTCCTGCTCCCCCGCGTCAGTCCGCTTCTCTTTATGACAGCTGAAGATGTGCCGCATCTCCTCCTCGTACCGCATGAAGTTCTCGCCGAAGCGGGCCCAGGCTTTCAGCGGCACGGTGATCGTGTTCCGGTAGGGCTGCCGGACCTCGCTGATCTTCAGGAAGACGCCGAAGCGGTTCGAGCCCACGTCGAAGTAAAAGCGCTTGTTGTCGACGCGGAACGACGCCGCCTCGGGCAGCTCGGGCGACGCGTCGTGGTTCCGCGCGCAGGGCTCGTCGTCGCCGTATTCGTCGATTAACTGCGACAGCGCGTCTCTGAACTCGATCAGGCCCTGCGCCGGCAGCACGATGGTCTGCTCGATGCCCTGCCCGTAGTACCCCATGCCCCCGTGTCCGCGGTTGACGGTCTGCCGGATGCGCAGGAACCGGCCGCGCTGGTTCTCCTTCAGGTCCAGGTAGTATTTCCTGTTGTCGCGCTCGATGAACTCGCTCTTCAGCACGCGGTGCGTCTGCTCCTCGGACGCGGCCGAGCCGCTGGGGGACGCCGCCGGATCCGCTGCTCTCCGGCGGGGCTCCGGTGCGCGTCCCTTGCCGTTGCTCTGCCCCTCCGGCGCCTGGCATCCTCGGAGCCCGATGTGCGCGTAATAATCGATGAAGTCGCCCAGGCAGTAGCGCAAATCGGGCGCCATGGACATGGAGAGGGTGAGCTTGCTCTTGCGGATGTTGTCGTGCCGGCCTCGGCCGATCCACACCTCGGCGATCTTCAGGAAGCGTCCGCGGGTGCTCTGCTTCACGTCCAGGTAGAAGCGCTTCTTCTGGATGTCCACGCGCTTGGACGCCAGCTCCTGTATGTCTGACGCTTTGCCGCTCGCGTACTGCTGCGAGTATCCTGATGTCATACTGCCTCTGCCTCTGTCCGTGTCCCTTCGGTGACTATCGGCCATAATCATTCACGGCGCTTCATCGCCTCGCTCGGTATTATTCCGCTTATCGAGCACCGGCGAGTCTCCTCGGCTGACCTGGAAACGGCAGGAGCGGCTCATCGACTTCCTTTGTCCTGATGAAAGGTCAAGCGAAGCGCGGAGGCGCGTACCGTATGCACCATGTTTTAAAAGCTCTTGTTTTTCGCCTCGCCATCCATCTGACACATATTCCTGAAGTGAGTGTGAGCGAGAGAGACACAGCGGATCTGCTGTAGTGCGAATGAACTCAATGACCCATCCCCCTCTCTCCAGCACACAGGCACAGATCGCTTGCGTACTACAGCACGCACTGCGCGGCGCACAGATAAGTATGCAGTACAGCAGTACTCCAGAATGAGGACGCTGCTTCAGAGGGATGCACGTGACGTCACCGTCAGCTGGAGTGAGTGCGGCTCCGCCCACTGAGTGGAAAAAGAGCCCAATGTGCATACTATCCATCCTAAATTCTGTGTGATGTTAGTCATCTTCAATACTATTTAGGGCAGATAGGGTGGATAGTATGCACACTGGGACGCAGGGTGAACGGCAGCATTGCGAAAGAGCTTTGAGATTGACTGAACAAATAGATCTGAAAAGAAATCGGAGGTATATTTTTACAGACTGCCGAAAACTAGAGAAGAGAGAAGCAAATGAAGCGCTGCAATTCAAAGAAACAAATGGACTCCAGGCAACGAAACACGGATTTGCAGTTATCATTTTACGTTAATATGCTGAATTTTGCAGTAAAATCATACCCTATATATTTTATTATAATATATCGTATTGATAACTCAATTAAATATTTAACATCTTATAACGGGATTTATTTAAATAAACAACACTGACAAAAACTATATAAGTTTTGGGGCTGGACGATATGGCGATATATATAACATTGATATAAGTGATCACCCGGATTTAGAGCAACCTATTTTGTATTTACAAAATGCGTTCACAGGCAAATTAGCTTTATTTATTTCCCCGGCGTCGAAATCAGGCACATATAAATGTCAGGAAACACGATTCTTGGCTGCATATCAATATCCATGGACCACTGGATACTTGGTAAGTTGTAAGCTACACTATATCGAGTCCAGCAAGTTTGAGTTTAAGCTGATTATCGGTCCGCTGAGGGGGCGTGTCCCGGCGGGGAAGTGACGTCAGTGAGTGCGGAGTAGAAGAGTCAGTGGAACATGTTATTTGTGTTTGTCAAAAGTATTTTAATGAAAGATAAATAATGAAGAAGGAACTCAGAAAGGTGGGAGTGGAAGAAATAAAGCATAACAATATAAATACTTATGGATTAGAGAGCTTATTTCTTTATCTCAAAAGAACAGAACTGATAAGATGCAATTGTAAATGTAATTTTTTTGAATGAATTGGATAAACTTTGGTCCACACTCCAAAGGTGGCGATAATGCACCTTAAAGCTAGTGCTACCTGCCATAAAACCGAAGAAGACGACATAAACTGCGTCCCAAATGTACTGTATACTATGTACTTATGCACTCAACCATGTAGTGCATGAATTTTATAAGGTTATTTTGTCATTTATAATCGGAGTCTGATAGCCCCTCGCCCTTCGCGACCTAATTAAAGCGGCGACAGTTGAGTGCATGAAGTGTTCAACATACCACACTTCGGCCCTGTCCCAAATGGCACCCTAAACCCTCGCAGTCTTCCTCTGAGTTTTTTCACTTTCGTGACGTAATGCCGCTTTGACTGTCGGGTAGAAGTCTGCTGCTGAGCTCGCCCCAGTGCGGGCTCGGCAGAAGTGCGTATTGAGGGTGCATAGCCAGCACCCTTCTGAAAGCTAAAATGACGAATGGTACACCCTACGGTCTCATGGACTTAAGTACACGCGCACGCGGCGGCCCTTTAAGTCCGCAAGACCGAAAGTGCACAAGAAGTGTGCCATTTGGGACAGGGCCGAATGTTATTTCTGTTATTTAAGTGCATCATCCGTGTTTTTAAAGTTTTTGGAATTTTTTAGTGTGAACACACTTCTCACACTATTTACACTAAAAGCGTCATAGAATAGTGCATAAGTACACAATTTGGGACACGCCTATACTACTTCCACATGTTAGTCTGTTCATCAAACCGCTTAACTGGTGCAACCCCCCCCCCAAAAAAACACATTTAAAAAGCTTTTAAGAATTCGAATCTTGATGTTTACTAAGATCCTTTTATTATCTATTGAAACGCATAATAATATTTAAAATATTAGTAAGCTTAATATACATAAAATCATCATTTATTGGGTACTTTCAATTGGGAGAGGGGGCTGTCCCGAACCCTAATCCCTTCATTTCAAATTCTGAAAACAATATTGATTTTTTTTTGGTATTTTATTCCATTGTTGGTTTTTAAAAATATCTTTTAGATTTTTTAAAAAAGTGAAGATCAAAAAAATATTTCATATTTTCTTTGTAAATCCTGAAACGTTATGTAAAAAAAAAAAAAGTCCCGCATTTTCATGTCACTACCGAAACAGTCCATTGGCTGAGACTGATTTTAACCACACCCCTAAATTTATGATCAGGAAATATTCCTGTGTCCCCCTCTCTCATAACTACAATGTGTGAGTAGATAGGTCCCATCATTTCAAGGTAAAGTCTAAAAATCTGTGTGTAACTTTAAGGAACGTCACTACCGAACACCTCTTTTTTTTTTTTTGCAATTAAGCACACTTTTTTGGGGGGAGTTATTCCATAATATTGAGTTTTTAGATGTGTACAGCTGTTCAGAACTGTGCTAGCTAACATGTGCTGGATTAGCATCTTTGAGGTAGGCTCATTTGGTGGAGTTTCGGTATAGTGACATCAATGTTTTTTGGGTGTTATTCCATAAAATTGCCACTACTGTGTAACAGTCACAACCAAAACATGTCATCATTGTTTCGGTAGTGACAAAAGACTACACATAATCCTTTATTTGGGTGAATGTGATGTGGTCGCTACCCAAACATTACTGTCACTAGCTCACTACTGAAAATGTGCTGTCACAACCGAAACATGGGATGCTTTGTCAAAAATAGGGATGGGTGATATGGGCTTAAAAATGTATCACAATCATTTCTGATATTTATTGCGATAACGATATGAATGACGATCATTTAGGGAATCCTGTTTCTTTAGAGAAAAGTATTATCTTTCCTATTTTTACCCAAAATAGGGTGTTGTGAGCAGTACACACGTAATGTAATGACTGTTTAATTGATACTGGAAGCCATAGGGCGCCCTTGCGCAGAAACGCCGCATATACATAGTAGAAGTAACGCTCCAGGAAATCCCTAACGTGGACAAAGGTATCCAGTGATCGCTGTAGCTGAATAAAACCAGATAGAGAAATTTTAACTGAGGAAACTTAAAGACAATAAACATGCGATTGCACAAAATATATGGTATCTGTGTTCTTCAAGCAATCTTGGGTATTTTTATAAGGATAAAATATATTTATAATGCAATGCTAATCGACATAGCCTTCATCACTGTATATAATGCTATAAAATAATATGATTTCTACCTTATTCTGACCACGTCTGGTCACAAAAATACAGTTATTTTAAACACTCGACTATGTTATGAAGTTAATATGGAGAAAAAGCACGTCAATAATATCTTTTGTTGGACAACAGGTTTGTAAACAGACTCATACACATGTAAAACTGTATCGCACACATGCTACTGTAGTACATTTACTCAAGTTCGGTTAAGTTAGCTATTTACTCAAGGCTCAGACCGATTTTTGTCGCACTGTTCAGTGCTGTCCAAACCTGCTCCAGATTGTAGAAGGATCTGCTCAATTTCACGTCCGGTTTCCTTCACTTTCCTTCATGTCACTCCACACAGAAATATGTCAACAACTAGACTTTATCGTTATTATCGCTGGAAGACTAATTCTTATCGTGGGGAGAATTTTTACCGGTATATCGCAAACGATAAGATAGCCTATCGCCCATCCCTAATCAAAAATAAAGTATATTGAATTATCAGCTATTATAGTGTTTGGTTCAGTGCATATTTAAACTAATGAATCTTTAACTTTGAAATCAATATATGATCAGCTTTATGCCTTTTACAAAGAAAGATTGGATTCAAAATAGAACAAATCTCATAAATCACACTTAAAATATTGTTAAAATTGTAATTGTTGTTGATTTACCTCTAAAACCCTTTTAATAAAATAGCAAAAAATATATTTACAAGGTAGATGTAAACAAAATCTTAATAGGTCAATATAGCCCTTATTAAATTATAAATTATTGTTTTGGTAGTGAGTGACACATTTGGGGAGAGGAAAAATATTCCAAAACTTTCTGAAAATACAATATGAGAATTAACTGGAAATGTGTACCTTGGATATTATACAATTTACACACATACAAAATTTGTGGAAAAATACATTTTGACGATTTTGAAAAGACAAGATGTTTCCAACTCTACCTTTGAACCAATTCTGTAGATTGGCCCGTGGATGCTGGAGCAAGAAAAAACCCCTGCACGGATGGCCACAGGGATATGATGGTTATCATATTGTCATTGTTCATTTATTTTATTTCAAAACATGAACAGAAACATTCCAAATCTTTGTGTTTAAGTATTTTGAGAGAGTTATGCTCTCGTAATTGAAACTTGTAAACTCACAATGCATTATAATGTCTTATTTAATTGTAATGAACTTATAAATTAACACACTGATAAATCTGTATTCTGTAACATAAAATATTAAAGATTGCATCAGAATCTAATGTGTGAAATTAAGCAACCTTCCTGTCACCAACCCACCTCCTATAAAACCTCGTTGTGCCCCTTATTGCACTATTTATTTTTTATGAACTATTTTTTTCATAAATATAGCAAATAAAACAAATACATATTCATACTCACCCACAGAACAACTTACACACGTCCAAAAATAAGAATATATGTATAGGACTTTCCATTTTCTATCCATTTATCATTATAGACCATGCTTAAAGTGGAAAAAAGTGTCGGTGCTCTCTTGTGCACCGGCTGTCATATGCAAATCATTATTACATTTGAAATATCAAATGTGACCCTGGACCACAAAACCAGTCATAAGACGCTGGGGTATATTTGTAGCAATTATGAACTATTTTTTTCATAAATATAGCAAATAAAACAAATACAGTGGGGAAAAAAAGTATTTAGTCAGCCACCAATTGTACAAGTTCTCCCACTTAAAAAGATGAGAGAGGCCTGTATATTTATTTTTTATGAACTATTTTTTTCATAAATACTTTTTTTCCCCACTGTACATATTCATACTCACCCACAGAACAACTTACACACGTCCAAAAATAAGAATATATGTATAGGACTTTCCATTTTCTATCCATTTATCATTATAGACCATGCTTAAAGTGGAAAAAAGTGCCGGTGCTCTCTTGTGCACCGGCTGTCATATGCAAATCATTATTACATTTGAAATATCAAATGTGACCCTGGACCACAAAACCAGTCATAAGACGCTGGGGTATATTTGTAGCAATAGCCAACAATACATTGTATGGGTCAAAATTCATTAGGATATTAAGTAAAGATCATGTTCCATGAAGATATTTTGTAAATTTCCTACCATAAATATATCAAAACTTAATTTTTGATTAGTAATATGCATTGCTAAGAACTTCATTTGGACAACTTTAAAGATGATTTTCTCAATATTTAGATTTTTTTTTTGCTTCCTCAGATTCCAGATTTTCAAATAGTTGTATCTCGGCCAAATATTGTCCTATCCTAACAAACCATACATCAATGGAGAGCTACTCAGCTTTAATTTTTCGTAGAAATTGCAATTTTAAAAAAATCGACCCTTATAACCAGTGTTACAAGTAATGCGAGGAACATAATCAGATTACTTTTTCAAGTAACTAGTAAAGTAAAATTACTTTTTAATTTACAAGAGAATATCTGAGTTACTTTATAAAATAAGTAACGCAAGTTACTTTTTCCCCCCCAATTTATTGATTGACAGCTCTCCTGTCCCCATGTTGAGAGAAATCAGATGTTACTGTAGTTCTAAAATAAATATGAATATGCATTATCTCACTCACAAACAAAAACACAGATTCAGTATTCCTCAAAATGAATAAAAATAATGCAACTCAGAATATGATGCAAACCTGCAATAATTAAATGTCAAACAACACAAATATCCTTTATGTATTTAATCCCATTCTATTAACCAATGTCTTCGCTTCTGACCTTCGCTGATTCAGTTCAACCGTACTAATAAGCACAAATTACTCTAGACAAACATCTGTGTGTCTTCTTTTACTGCTGAAGTGTGTTGAAATGTCTTCTTCTGCACTCTACTGTACTTTCCCGTCAGCCTGAGGCGCATTCATTTCACGTTTGGTGTGATCAGCCAAAAATATTTGCCAAAAATATAACTTTTTTATTTTAAAAACAAACAAGCAAGCCCTGTCCAGATTTAAAAAGTAACGCAAAAGTAATGTAACGCATTACTTTCCATAAAAAGTAACTAAGTAACGTAATTAGTTACTTTTTCATGGAGCAATGCAATATTGTAATGCATTACTTTTAAAAGTAACTTACCCCAACACTGCTTATGACTGGTTTTTGTGGTCCAGGGTCACAAATGTGAAAAAATAAATACTTGTAGATATTGCTGTTACCACTTTCGAGCACTGTGTTGCATTGTGACTAAAACTAATGCACACTTATTAGTAATGTGCCAAAATACAGGTTCAATAACGACATCGTTCACATAGATGATTTACTTTAGACAGTGTTACGCCATTCATATTAAACAACTGAATAGCGCGCTTATGATAACACTCATTCAGTAGTAGCCTAGTGTGTGTCTGCTTTGTTTAACACAGCCAGCTTGTTTATTTCACTCCAGTCCCACAGGTGGCGCTGCTTGCTGTGTCACAGACGAACACAGCGCGGGAGAGTTTGGCTGAAGTAACTGGAAATGTTGCTTAGAAATATACATTGTTATTCAACACGTATAGACAGGCTGTGAGTTATTAAAGCTTTTAGAGGAATATGAAGTGCTGAATGAAATGCAGAGAGAGACAGCGCGACATTCATTTCAGCGTGAGCGGTTAATGTGTGCTTTGTGCGTCGTTGTAAGTATACGCACGTCAAAAGTGATATTAATATTATTAAGATCGCTCAGAAACGGCCCTTACTGTTTTATGCTAACGTTAGTTGTACCATGTAGTCGTACTAGTTTTATGCTGTTTTATTGTTAAAGACGGATGAAAGGAAGCTATAATGGGTGACAGGACTCTACCTGAATGGATGAACAAACCTCAGGAAGAACATGTGAGAAAAGTCAACAATATAAACACACGACACACTTAAAACATAAACTGACCTGTTTGCTTGAACTTCTTTCATGCACATGTCTTCTTCACTGGCATGCAGGAGGAAATGCTCTCTTTGTACCTGTGCCTTCACTAAAATGTGTATGTTTTCCATTGGTTGAGAGAAAGTAAAAGCCACTTATTTGCATTATTTACTGAGACACCTGCAGCACTATGCTCATATTCAAATCAAACCAAAGCACTGTTTGCAGGTCAACAGTCAAGAAGAACTGGTTTAATGCTGGTCTACTTGTACTGGGTCGTTTAATCACACATCATTTTATAAAGGCGCTCTATAAGATGAAAAGTTGTGCTCTAATTGTATTAATTCTCATGTAGCGCAAGTCTAATCAAAAGCGTTTACGATGTTTGACACAACTAGTCTATAACATGACCAGGGGCCTGTTTCATAAAACAAGCTTAACAAATAAGCCAGGCTTATTTCAGTTAGTCTGACTTATTGTCAGTTGATTTGGTTCTAAATAAGTCAGACTAACTGAAATAAGCCTGGCTTATTTGTTAAGCTTGTTTTATGAAACGGGCCCCTGTACAGTTTGCATGTTATGATGCTTTCATTGTATAGATGTTTGTTTCCTGGCATTGAAGCATGCTGTACTGTGGATATGATATTTGCATGCCACCGCTTCTACAGAAATACACAAACCTTCATTCTTGTTGCTCGTCATAACTTTTTGTATTAATTATTTTAAATGTTCTAGTTATTTATATTTCTAAATGTTGGTTTGAAGAGAAAAACTGTGTGGTTAACCAGTTTAAAGTAGAGAGGAAATGAGATGAGAGCAGAGTGCACCTGTATGAAAAAGCACCTGGCAGCCCTCCATATTTTTATGATTTTGTGTGTTTTTTTGTGCATCATGTATCTTTAGTCATTACGTTGGCTGCCGGCAGTTTTACTTGAGTAAATATGCCTGAGATTTTGTACTGTGTGTTTCCACAGACACCAGGACCCTATAAAAAGAGCATTCTGGAGGATGGTCTTCCTTATCTGGAGTTTGGAGGAACAGTCATATACAGCCAGGAAAGACACGACTGCTCATTTTTATCAGAAGATTTAAGGTAATATATTTGGCTGAATCTCTTAAAAGCATGCTTAGGTAATTCCCCCAAAACCCATTAAAGAATTTTGTACTGGGACTTTTTTTTAATGACAATTCCAGGTACACTACAAAGGATTTCTCCTTGTTTTTGTTAGAAAATAATTATTGAGCCAGTGCATAATAAACAGTGTTCAGAATCAAAAGAGAGTTCTTGTTTTGAGTCACTGGAATGGTACATCTGCAGTAATGATTTATATTCAGTGCTGTCCATAAAAAGTAATTAAAGACGGCTGTTATAGTGCCAGATATGCTACTCACTTGCTCAGATGGTATCTTTTTTTCATACACATCTCAAAACAACAGGACGTTGTTTTTTTTGTACTCACTATCCATGAACTTGGCTTAGCTAGTGAGTGTGCTGATCAGAGGCAACCATGACTAACTATCAGATTCCTCCGCATGAGTTAAAACATTAAAAAATAAGAAAACTTCCTCAGCAAGGAGCTTGCAGTTTTATGTTTTATCCACAGATGTCAAAAGAGGGCACTATGGAGCCACTAAACTCTGGAGCAAATGGGAAGAAAAATGATATGTCAGTGTTTTTGTGTTAATAAAAATATTTTATTTTATATAATAAAAATAACTGAAATGTAGATTTTTTTTCCTTCTGCCTCATATCCACGCAAAGTTTTTTGGGGGAGCGTTGAAAAATACTCTCATTGTTTATCATTGTTTATTTTTCCACAGTGTTCACTTCAGTGTTTCATCCTAAATTCTCTTTATTGTAATGCAAAAAAAAAAGTCTCTGGAAAAGTCATGGCAATTTCTACTGTGAAATTTTTTTTTTTTTACTTTATTTGCTTTACTCTAGAACAGGGGTACTCAAATATAAACTTGAAAAGTCCACTTACCAAATTTCCATTCAGTCTGAGGTCTGGAAAAGTGACGGTCAAATTCCAAATAGAGAACTCCAACAAAAAAAAGGCAATCCCCAAAACTTTAGAACTATACACAAAAAAACGACATGGTAGGCCTTTTAGTGTGAAAGGTGACACCTTCTTTGTGCCACCAGTTGTTTAAACTTGGGCATAAAAGGTGTGAGGGCCAGGCGGAGGCACTGATGTAAGTGTTCATTGGTGAGTGTGCTGCGGTATGCGTTAAGCAGGTTCTGCTGTAAGTCACATTTGAACACCTTCAGCTTCCTCTGGAAAGCATGGACAGCTGACATGAGGTCACACACTGTGCTGTTTTTGCCCTGGAGCTTCATATTAAGGTCATTGAGATGGGAAGTAATGTCAGTTAGAAAAGCAACAACTTCCATTTCCTCTTCATTCTTCATGAAATCCACAAACGGTTTGGCTTTTGCACTTTTCTGATTCAACAGAAATGTCTCCAGCTCTTTCCGCTGTGCCCAAAACCGCTCCAGTACCTTGCCTTTACTAAGCCACCGGACATTGTTGTGAAGGAGCAAATCATCAAATGTTGCATTCACCTCTATTAGAAATGAGCGCAACAAACGATGTTGCAGAGCAGAGGATGCTCTCAGATAGTTGACAAGTTTCACGACTGTTGTCATTACTTCTGAGTACCTTTCTCCAAGGCTGGCACACGGTAGGAAATTTACAAAATATCTTCATGGAACATGATCTTTACTTAATATTCTAATGATTTTTGGCATAAAAGAAAAATCTATAATTTTGACCCATACAATGTATTTTTGGCTATTGCTACAAATATACCCCAGCGACTTAACACTGCTTTTGTGCTCCAGGGTCACATATGTGATGCAATCTAGGAAAACCCACCACATGGGGAAATTTTACCTATTATAGGTTGTGATACCATATGAAAGCTGGGTTCAAGCAATTTCCAAAACTGTTTTTATTTCATCCATAGCTTGAACGTAACAAAAGCTATGGTTATCTGAAGTTGGCTGATCGCCATGTTTTTCAGGAACAGAATTTTGAGGAAAAACTGGTTTAAAGCGAGGCAATGAAAATAAAAGCACAACAGTCAAGTATCACACGTACAAGTCACTTTACTGTGGTACAAGACTTATTTCAGTCACTGTACATGTTGTAAAAGATACAATGACCCCAAGGAACACGCAACACTACAACAACATTAAGTGTATCTCTGTTCATAAAACATCACAGATTACAGCATGCAGGCTATCTCCAATTCCTCTCCTGTTCTACTACTCTGGATTTATAATACATAACCAGACACAGTTCAGAACTGTAACTTGTAGTTTTGTGTTCTAAATTGTAGTTTTATTTCACGCTGTCACTGTTTGAACTAAATGTAAGTAATGCATAGCGTTAATATGAAAATGGTGCTGGTCCCTTTAAGACTAGTGGAAAATGCGCATTGATACACCATTGCTATATACGTTACATAGTTTATTTTGATAGCCTAGGTGAACTGTCTTTGTAGTGTTAAGTGTCGAGGGAAAACACCTCCGCAGCGCGTTAGCAAACTAGACAGTCTTTTCTGTTTGCCACAATAAATCGCTATTTTTCTGCACTAAACAAGTGAATTTTGCCAAGATATTTTCAGAGATGACAGACGATGTTATAGAATAATAATTTAATGAAAACCCAATTTTGACAAAAAAATTGACATTCGGCCTGTTTTTTTGAATTTCCTGAAAACGTCCCAGTGCGACATCTGACGGGTTTTCCTAGATTGCATAACATATACAGGTGCATCTCAATAAATTAGAATGTCGTGGATATGTACGGTAAATTACAGTCATGAAATAGACACTGACAGAGTAATCTTGGGTTTATTTTGCGAGAATAACTGGCTGATTGTAATTTAGCTTATTACACAGCAACTCACCAAATAAATAAATAAAAAATTGTTATTGTTAACTAAAATTAAAACGGTTAAAAATCATTTTCAGTAATTGAAATAAAATAAAATGTTAGATATTAGACTTGGGAATGTTGCCTTGGCAGTTAACTGAAATATGTTTGTTGAAGGACTAAAACTGAAAGTGAAATAAACTACACAACAGTATGTGATGTAAAATGAAAATGGAAAATCTAAAAAGAAAAACTCAATCAAAATGTTAATAAATTACTATAATACTACATAAATAATGCTAAAGTAACACTGATACAAAGAGATGAAATATTGATTATCAGATCAAATGACCTATTACAATCTAGAAAAAAATAGTCCACTACCGTGTAAAAAAATCAGTCTAGCAACTATAATATTGTTTTAGTGTTCATGTTAATACTGAAGTTCTCTGATTGAGAGAGTGAGTTAGCAGTGTGATATGATGACAGACATGAAAGTAGTGCTGGATGAGCAGTCTGATGTACAATACTGCCATGGAAGACAGTGAATGCTAGGAAATATCCGCGATTGACTAAAGTTGACCACAGTACCCTGAAATGCCAAAGATTCATGTTGATTTTGAGTGAGATAAGTTGATGTTCATGTGATGTTTGTTTTATTCAGCTGAGATGTGGTGAGAAGTGGAGTTTGGACGGTCTAGTGAAGCACTTGTTGAAGAAGCAGCTCTTCAAAGACAAACTTGTGCGCTGTAGTCACTGGGACGACTTTGGTCTGACAGAAGACCAGAAGAGATATGCTGCCACTGATGCTTACGTGAGTCGATATAAACAGTTGCAGTTAAGGAACAGTAAATGGGTAAAACTGTGGTGTGACGAACTAAATGCCGTTGATGTATATCTGTCAAATCGATTAATTGCGATTTATCACATCCAAAATAAAAGTTTGTGTTTACATAATATATATGTGTGTACTGTGTATATTTAGATATAGATACACACAGATACATTGTGTATGCATATGTACAGTTGAAGTCAAAAGTTTACATACACCTTGCAGAATCACTGATGCTCCAGAAGGAAAAACGATGCATTAAGAGCTTTTGAACAGAATGCAGATGTGTACATTTTTCTTATTTTGCCTTAATATCATGTTTTTGTCATTTAGTACTGCCCTTCAGAAGCCACAGAAAATACTTACAGGTTTCCCAGAAAACTAAATAAGTTAAATTTACCCTGATCTTCAAATTCAAGAAGTTTTCAGCCCCCGGCTCTTAAATCGGTCATCGGGTGCAAAATTAATTTTTACATGTTGTTTGAACTGAAATGTGTGTTGGCAATGCGTGTACACAACCACCCTATATTGATAAAAATCCACCCAGTGTTTTTTTTAATTTTTTTTTTTAAATATCTATAAATCATGACCCCTTTCTCAAATCAAGCTGTTCTCAGATTCTTGGCTGTGTGATGTCACACTGACCCAGGCCCCTCATACTGTTGATTGACACTAGCGTTTTACCTTAGCTCCGCCCTGAGTGAGCTGTCATCAGTCCTCCATTGTTTCACCGCCGGAGCAGATGTAGACAAGAATGACTCCTAAGTGATTGAGGTGTTTTGTTGTTGGATGTAGTAATTAGAGGTCGACCGATATATCGGGCCGATATTTGTCATTTTTTAATATATCGGCATCGGCCGATATCCGTGTTTAGTAGCGCCGATTTAAAGGAGTTTCACTCTCCGCCAAGCGATCTGTACTGTTTTTCGGTTCATCTAAATGGATGTGCAACGCACAACGTACCGTAAACTCTAGTGTGAAGGCGCACGCCTCGCCGTCGCTGTCTCTCACACACACGCAGCGAGAGAGAACTGACGCGCTACATGTAAACGATATTCTTTGTTGTATTTTGCTGTCAAATTAACGGAGTTCCTTTGGAACACACAACCTGATTAATATTCATTAATCCAGTAGCTCGTTAATCCTTGGTGTGTTTTATATTGTTCTTATTAGTAGAATTCGCATCATTATTATCTAATCAGTATTTTTGTTAGTTTTTCCCCAATTTCTTTAAAACTTTTATGTAAATGATTGACAGTTTTTTTTTATTACCTGTTTTATATATTTAATACTTGGTAAATTTATTGATTTGTTTGGTTAACTTTGGATAAATATTTTATTTTAATACCGTGCAGTGCACAAAATTAAGATTCGAGAGATGGTTCAAGTCAGTGTTCAATAAATGATGATGTTAAGTTTAGAAATGTTGTGCATCCACTTATTATTAGTGTGACATTTTAGCATGCAAATGAAGGGGAAAACTTCAAGATATCGGCCCTAAAAATCGGCAGCACATATCGGCCATCGGCTGACCCTGGCCTCTAAACATCGGCATCGGTTATAGAAAAACCCATATCGGTCGATCTCTAGTAGTAATGAATATAGCAGTAGTCATTTACTCCCGACATCTGAGCCGCTGAAGACGCAGAGGATTAGCTTTGTTTGTGAAGGGAATGTACCCTTGTTACAATGTCAATGTAACGTTACCTAAATGCTTCTATGTTCGCGAGTAATCATTCGTGATCCAGCTTCACCTCCAGAAGAAGTGAGTACAAGTGTTTTTTTTATGAATTTAGCAAATCGCCTTTCCTAATAACGTGCTAGTTAGCAAGTTCTGCAGCTAAAGTTTACAGTCTCTCAGAGAGCGGCTCATCACCCCACAGAAGAAAGGGGCGGGGTCAGCAGAGCTCATTAGCATTTAAAGAGACATGCACCGAAACGGCTTGCTGTGAACAGAGCTGTTTTTGACAGGGTAAAAGGGTGTTGTTTTACACTACCATCGAGAAGTTTTAACCAAACTATGTTATAGAGTTTTCATTAAGACCCTAAAGAATCATATCATCTTGTGGAAAATGGGCATCCGATGCCCTTTTTATTGCATGGTTTCTCCTTCTGGAGCATCAGTGAGTGTTTGATCCTTCTGTAATAGTTGCATATGAGTCCCTCAGTTGTCCTCAGTGTGAAAAGATAGATCTCAAAATCATACAGTCACTGTTGGAAAGGGTTCAAATACACAAAAATGATGGAAAACCAAAGAATTTGTGGGACGTGAAGGATTTTTCTGAAGAACAGCAGGCAGTTTAACTATTCAGGACAAACAAGGGACTCATGAACAACTATCACTAAACAAAAAAACACAGCTGTGGATCATTCAGCTAACAACACAGTATTAAAACGAGTCATTAATCCAACTATTATTTTCTCTTGTGGACTATATGTAAACGTCTTTACGTTTGTGTGAAATATCTTATTCAGGTCAGTACTAAATAAACAATAACATGCGTTTTGTATGATCCCTCTTTTTGTGGTAAAATGATTAACATTTTGCAGATTCTGCAAGGTGTATGTAAACTTTTGACTTCAACTGTATGTATTTATGAATATAATATTAGGCTATATTATCGATTTGACATGTACATCTTGATGTTAATAAAAATCTTTCATTTCCCTAACAGGCTGGATTGCTCATTTATCAGAATCTACAGGAAATGATGTCTGGTGAGATCAGTTGTATTCTTGTTGATGTTATGGCTGTGCTATTCTAATGTACTTGCATGTAATGATGATCAAATAATGTTTTGACAGTTTTTTTCTGCACTAGATATGTAATATTTGTATAACCACGCGTCTTTCTGTACACTTGCTTTGTGTTCATTTGCCTGCAGGCTGCTCAGAAACCTCAGCGCTCGCTTTGAAACTGAGAGTTTTTCAGATTGCTCGTGATCTTAACAATCTTGCTGATAATCTTCCAGATGAGCTTGACTGCGTGACCAGGTCAGTGCTATTTATTTTCTCTGAGGTCCAGTGATAGTTAGGATTGGGTCCAGTATTGTTGGCATTGTATTTACTCTTATCATTAGTTAAATATAGAGGTCGACCGATGTAATCTGACAACAATTGTCTCATAAATGTTGTTTCTTTTTGTCAAATAGCTTTAAAAAAGCATATTTTTCTAGCTATACCAGTAAGTGCGCATGCGCAATCCAAAACGCGTGTCTTAGAATGCAGACTGTTTCTATAGCAACCGGGACTTCTAATGCCAGCTGCAGTGATGTGCTGACTTTACCGATTAGCAATTGGCTCTTTTATTCAGAAGGCAGGGCTTCCTTCGATAGAGTCGCTATATTGAGTGTTGCATTTTACCCCATTCAAAACATGTCCACTGTCATTAGACAATATGAGCAAAGCCACTAGAAGGCAAGCCTGCAACCTTTAGCCAAAAAAGCGTAATGCTAACGCTTCCATTTTGGCAGTACATGGGACAGGAGTACGCTTTTTTTTTTTTTAAAGGATGTCAATTGAAGAGAGGCTTCACTACGCTGAATAAACAGCTTTTTAGAGGAAACGGATTATCATTTAAAGGTGACATATTATGAAAATCGGACTTTTCCAGGTTTTAAAGGGGTCATATGATGCTGCTAAAAATAACATTTTGTGTATTTGGTGTAATGAAATGTGTTTATGCAGTTTAAGGTTAAAAAAAACCACATTATTTTCCACATACTGTACATTATTGTTTCTCCTCTATGCCCCGCCTTTCTGAAACGTGTCGATTTTTACAAAGCTCATCGGTCTGAAAAGCGAGGTGTGCTCTGATTGGCCAGCTATCCAGTGCGTTGTGATTGGCCGAATACCTCAAGCGTGTGACGGAAATGTTACGCCTCTTACCATACTGTGATACCCTGTCCGGCCAGAGCGACGAGACAAAAACATTAAAACCCATTATAAACGAGGCATTTGTTGCATCAAACCGTTTGATCCGTCAGATGAAGAAGCTAAGACTAAGCCAGAGAACCGAGACCAGAGCCATAGTCAGTCTGAGGAAGACGCTGGCAGACACCCGCAGAGAGAGTGTGTGATGTCTCTGGATATCTCTGAGTATGAGCTGCAGATGCTGGAGCAGCAGGCCAGACACGAGCAGCTGGAGGAAGAGTGCATCTTAGCTTTCCAGGTGACTGCTGCATTCAGCTGCTCTGTGCTTTATCAGTGTGATTACTGAGGTTTCATGATTGTTATGTTTTCCTCAGACTCAGCAGGCATCTGCCCACAAGGACTCTAATGACATGGAGAGTGATGAAGATTTTGATGATGAAATGATGAAGGTAAAACGCAGGTCACGTTATGTTTTCAGGTGATAGCTGCAGAGTGTTCATTGAACATTAAGTCACGCTTGTGTCTTTGAGGCTGTTATTAAATTGAGTTTGTCAAGCTCCAAAATGACCATAAATAGCCAAGGAAAGTCCAAAAAACTAATCTTGAAACACTTGAGAATGAGATAAATGATGGCACTTTTTTCTTGAAAACTCAAGATTTACTCAAATAGTTTGATGCCTAATTGTTTCTCTTCTGTTGTTTGTCAGTGTGCTGCTGACATAGAAAGGTTAAATGATAAACATGGTCATGAGAAACAGGAGCTTGTCCCACGGTCTGGTGCTGAAGATGATGATGAGGATGTTGAGGAAGATGAGGAAGAGGGGTTTGGTAAATTTACTGTCTTTGATCCTTGAACATAAATAGCCTTCCCAGATTCATATACAGTTATATATTTTATTGTCATGTAATCTTTGACCAAAGTCGTGTCCAGTGTTGGGGAAAGTTACATTTAAAATTAATGCATTACAATATTGGGTTACTTCCTTAAAAAAGTAACTAATTATGTTACTTAGTTACTTTTTATTGAAAGTAATGCGTTACGTTACTTTTTTAAAATCTGGGCTGGGCTTGCTTGTTTGCTCTATTCTAGTTCTATTTTTGGCAAATATAAAAGCCCTTTCACACCAAAAGCCTCAGGCTGAAGGAAATGTGTTTTGTTTTTGTGAGTGAGATGAATGAATGCATATTCACATTTATTCTAGAACTAAAGTAACATCTTACTCCCGATTTCTCTCAACAAGGGGACAGGAGAGCTTTCAATCAATCAATGGGAAAAAAAGTAGCTGGCGTTATTTATTTGAAAAAGTAACTCCGACATTTTCTTGTAAATTAAAAAGTAATGTGTTACTTTACTAGTTACTTGGAAAAAAAGTAATCTGATTATGTAACTCGCGTTACTTGTAATGCGTTACCCCCAACACTGGTCGTGTCTTGTTCAGCTTGAATATTCTTCACATTATATATTTATGAACAAGACGAGTCTTCTGCAGTATATAACCTCACTGTAATATGAAAGCTGCGGAGCTATATTTCATAGCGCTGTCTTTGCAGCTCTGTCTGCTCTGTGAGTCTTAACAATATTGAGAAATATTTTAAGGAAAGTTTTGCCACTTTCAGTTTTATACAAGCATTAATACAGCTGTAAAATAAAAATCTAGAATAAATACAATAAATTAAGCACAGATTTCTTTTTCTTTTTACGTATAATTTCAGGTTACTTTGAATTACTACGGATATTATCAGTATGTAAACTATGTCTTATTTAATATTTGTTAGCAGCGGTTTTGAATTTCAACAAACTTGTTTGTTTCTGTTAAGATTCAAGCATCCCACAACCTGTTCCTGAACAAATTAAACATCTAAAAATGTTCTTTGGACATCACAGCTTTAAACCGTAAGTTTTGAAGTAGTACTGGTGTGTATTGTACTATGTTATTGTTTATGATTGTAAATCAGCGTATATGGAGTTTGTTTTTCATGTGATCTGTCATACAATGCTCATGGTTTTTCAGGGTTCAGTGGAAAGTGATTCACTCTGTTCTCACGGAGAGGAGAGATAATCTTGTTGTCATGGCAACTGGTATAACTTTTTCTTGATCGTTGAAGTTATGAGATATTTACTAAATGCTCTTTAGTCGTAATAGTAATTTTCTGTCCAGCTCTAGCCTGATAAATGTGATTATGAGGCATGGAGATATTAAGAAAACTGCTATACAAATGAATTTGACTTGACTTAGTTTGTGTTCAAAAGTCAGCTCTCATGAATGGCTGTGTTGGCAGGTTATGGGAAGAGTTTGTGTTTCCAGTTTCCTCCAGTGTACTGCCAGAACGTCAGTGTGGTCATCTCTCCTCTCATCGCTCTCATGGAGGACCAGGTGCTTCACCTACAGTACGTTACAGTGCTTTAACTTCATGTCACATCATTTTTAACTATATCATATCACGGGGTTTTCTCCGGAAAATCACGATGCACAATTTTATCACGATTCTTTGTCATGTTGGTTTTCACTATTTTGCAAGTTGTCTGAGCAGTACAGACAAACCAATTTCCCTATTTAAAAAACAAAGCCTTACAAGGTAACAAAATAAAAAAAATAATAATAATAAAAAGGCAGATATTTAGGCTAAAGCGGGCGAAGAGGAAAATCTTTGTCATTATTTTATCTTCGTTATTTAAATATAAAAACAACGATACACATTACAAAAACACATAATATACAAATAAAACAAACTGCTTAATTTTTTTCTGGTACAGTAGGTGTATTTTAGCAGTAGCATTCAAGAAATTGAATGAACAAATAAAAAAATAAAACACTATATACACTTCACTGTAAAAATTATAAATTGATTATATTAAAGGGGTCATATGATGCTGCTAAAAAGAACAGTATTTTGAGTATTTGGTGTAATGAAATGTGTTTAAGGTTCAAAAAACACATTATTTTCCACATACTGTACATTATTGTTTCTCCTCTATGCCCCGCCTTTCTGAAACATGTCGATTTTTACGAAGCTCATCGGCCTGAAAAGCGAGGTGTGCTGTGATTGGACAGCTATCCAGTGTGTTGTGATTGGCCGAATACCTCAAGCGTGAGATGGAAATGTTACGCCCCTCACCATACTGTGATGATGCCCTGTCAGGCCGGAGCGATGATTCAAAAACATGAAAACCCATAGCGGCCTACAGTGACCAGAGGCCGGGGGATAAAGTGAGGAACGGCCGGAGGGTTCGAGTGAGCAGAGGAGGCGGGCTTGAGAACGTTGCGACCAGCGATTTCGAAGAAGGAGCGTCCGGAAGGACATGTGATGACTCCGCTTCGTCCACGGTGAAAGCCGATCCGGCGATCCACAGCGCAAAGTTGTTGTATTTCCTCAGCGACCAGCACGGATCAGCTCCAGGCATGACGAAGCAGATATCGTCCTCTTTTGGAAGACCAAACAAAGTAGTTTCGCTTTTACAACAAAGCACATAGCGTCTTTACGACATTGCAGCGGAAACAACAAAACTACTGCGAGAATAAAAGTTACACCTTCTTTCTTTGCGTGAACATTTGGGCGGCGTTATGCAAATCTTCCCACAGAGCGACGTAGGTATGTTGGGGCATGTTAGAACGAGCCGTTTTAGGTAGGTGTGGCTGACTCTTAAATTTTATAAAGAATATCTCTTTGGATTTGAGACTTTAGTCTTTGCAACTTTACAGATCTTCTTTATGCACCAAGAGCTTGTAACACTCAAAAGAGAAAGGAAAATTTTAAATCACATCATATGACCCATTTAAAGCTCTTCAGTCAAGAGCAGTGAGTGATTTTTCTCTTTGTATTTTAATAACATTAAAGGAATAGTACGCCCAAAAATGAACCTTCTGTCATCATTCACTCACTCTCAAGTTGTTTAAACCTGAATGAGTATCTTTCTTCTGTTGAACAAAAGAAGATATTTTGAAGAATGTGGGTAACAAACAGTTGCTGGTCCCCAAAGACTTTCATAGTACCCCCCCTACTATCAAAGTCAGTGGTGACCAGCAACTGTTTGTTACCCACATTCTTCTAAATACCTTCTTTTGTGTTCAGCACAAGAAAGAAATTAATACAGGTTTGGAACAACACGAGAGAGTAAATAATGACAGAATTAAAATTTTGGGGTGAGCTATCCCTTTAATGACAAGCGGCAGCATGTTTAGGGGTATTAGTCTGCTGTCTCTTTAAGAGCTGCACGCATTTAATATACAGGCATGCAAATGTTTACTTACTTTCTCATAACCAACTGTGTTTTTTACTGTATTAGCGCAATCAGATGCGAAAGATAACTTGAGTAATACAGTAACCAGACGCTGTTTGGCAGGTGTGCGTGCGCTACAGGTGTACGCGTTCAGAAAAAGAGCACATCAGAACAGCATGTGAATGAAATGTTTAACCAGCAAAACTTTAAAGCACATGCAAATAAAGTACTTTTGTGATTGCGAATAAGTGCAGTGTCCCTTGAGTGTAAAGGTCATTGCACAGAGTCCGACATTTTTGTGTGCGTTTTTTCATTTTTTTTGTATTTGTCATCCTTTCCTGTCAAAATGCTTGTTACGGATGCGAAAACACAGAAAATCTTACCTGATCTGAATTTTTTTATGACGGATGAAAGTTTCGGAGGCAGTGTGTAAACGTGATTGACACAATGTGAGGTCATATTTATTTTTTAACGTGCGAAAATTTCGGACTCCGTGTGCAAAGACCTTAACTCTACTGTTGAGTTAACATTTGATGTGAATGTATGCTGCATTGTACAGTATATTGAGACGGAGGTGTCAAAACTGCAACATAAACGTTGAAATGTAACTAAGATCTGGATGCAGGCTGATGTAGTGGCATGGTCAGCCTGCAACTGAGTGGTCTACATAGTACAACATTTAACATAAATTTCAAAAAGAAGATATCGCATGGCAGAACATTGTGTGTTTGTAAATGAGATGCACGATGAGACCTCCACTGATTTATCTTTCATTCATCTTTGTGTTTGTGTTGCAGAATGTCAAACATTTCTGCTTGTTTTCTTGGATCTGCTCAGACTAAGAACCTGTATGAGGAAGTGAAGAGGTGAGAGGCTAGTTGGCATGAAATACTTTTGGTAGCTTGACGTGTCCTGTGTAGGGATGCTCATGTTGACCGTTTAACCGTTAACCGAAAGTACGAATTTTAACTGATTAATACTATCAGTTAAACTGTTTAAAAGGTTTTTTTTTTTTTGGTAAATTTTTTTTTTCACATATATTTTTAAGTTTGCTGCATGGTAAAAGAAAAAAAAAATGCTATACGTACAGTATTTGACATGCAGCGTGCATACAGACATATTTCGCTCAACAAGCACTTGCTTCACCTTCACTCACAACTGATAGTATGCCCAACACAATGGCAAGTGGCAATATTGGATAAATGGTTATCAGAGAGTGAATCTGCGAGTGAATGTATGTAAATTCTGAATGGATTATAGCTTATAGTGCGCAATGGGCGCTCCCCTTATAATCACTGAAAATCTGTCACTCATACTGTAGATCATCACGATCTCACAAAGTTAATTAAAAATAATCAAAGCTTTACACTGCACAATTAGTCTCTTATTTACATAATGTCTACACTTTCTTTGTTTTAAGGAGAGAGTAAAAAAAGAAATTATAAAAAAGTTTAAATTTACAATAAAGATAATGTTGTATCCTATTTTTATTTTATTTTATATAAAATAAATATTTTATAAAATGTTGCACTAAAATTGCTAAGAAATCAAAGCCATATGCCTAACCAAGTTATGTTCCAAATTTGAAGTTGATATCACAAAAATTGTGGTTCCTTTGTTTGGGCGCTAAACCAAAAATAACCACTGGGTGACACCCAAACTCTGTTGAATTATTACAATTCTTTCCTTATAGCCAACATGAAACCAATACTTGCAGTGCATTCTGTAAAGTGACACATTTCTAAATGTTTAGCATGAATTCATGTGGTGCAGGATCAGGATGAAAGATTTCGATATCATGTTGGCACAAAAGAAACTTTATCCTGCTCAATTGTGTGCATGTTTTTTATGTGCATTTTTAGAATTTATGCGCATCTTGGCATTTCCATCCAGCGGATATTCCAAAATGCACATAAAAATAGGTGGATGGAAACAGCTAGTGACGTGTGTTTAGCCACTGACATTATTTCCCCTGTTCTCTTATCTTCAGGGGTCATTTTAGGGTGGTGTACATGACACCTGAATTCTGCTCTGGGAATATTCCTCTCCTAGCGCAGCTCGACAGGACTGTTGGTAAATCAAACAGGAAGAAGTAAAATGCCATTTGAAGTGATTTAATCCTTCATGGTAAACGAGGAACATCATCTCTGTGTGTGTTTGTAGGTTTATCACTGGTTGCGGTAGACGAGGCTCATTGCATCTCTCAATGGGGTCATGATTTCAGAAGTGCGTATCGTGACCTGTGGAAACTCAAGAAAAATCTCCCTGGTGTAAGCCATATTTTTTTCTGAAATCTACTTTGTGTCATTATGAAGGTACAGACTGATATCACTGAAGGATTGATTTTGATCATTTATTCGTGTGTTTCCTAACATTTGACTTTAATCAGGTTCCTATTTTGGCGCTCACGGCTACTGCGAGTCCGTCTATCCGCGAGGACATCGTTAAGAGCCTTCATCTGATCAATCCTCTGATCACCTGCACCTCGTTCGACCGACCAAACCTCTACCTGGATGTCAACCGCAAGTCTGGTGACGTTATCCAAGACCTCAAACAATTTCTCATAAAAAAAAAAGGGTTAGGCCATGTTGATTCTTTTAGTAACTTGTGAGGAATATTCTTTGCATTTATTAAAGTATTTTGCACGAGAAATGTTTGAAGATTACTTAATGCAGTGGTTTTTAACCAGATGACCAGGACCCATTAGTACACAGTAAGACAATAAGTTGGAGAAAAAAACAGATGTAAGCTAAAATCATATTTTTATTATTTATTCCCTCAACATTTGCCTTAAAATTTTGAGTTCCAGGATTCTCACAATCTTGGAACATCTGCATTGGGAATTTTGTGTGGTGTCTAGACAAAATTTTAGTAATGAATGTAATATTTTCTAGTTGTGTCAAAATATTTAGAGTAGAAATTTCTAATTGTGAGTAAAACGTTTTTTTTTTTTTTTTAAATCCCAGTAATCGCAAACAACTTGAAAAGTCATATATGTGACCTTGGACCACAAAACCAGTCACAAGGGTCAATTTTTGGAAATTGAGATTTATACATCATCTGAAAGATGAATAAATAAGCTTTCCATTGATGTATGGTTTGTTAGTATATAGGACAATATTTGTCCGAGATACAACTATTTGAAAATCTGGAATCTGAGGGTGCAAAAAAAATCTAAATATTGAGAAAATCATCTTTAAAGTTGTCCAAATGAAGTCCTTAGCAATGCATATTACTAATCAAAAAATAAGTTTTGATAAATTTACGGTAGGAAATTTACAAAATATCTTCATGGAACATGATCTTAGTACCATAATGATTTTTGGCATAAAAGAAAAATCTATAATTTTGACCCATACAATGTATTGTTAGCTATTGCTACAAATATACCTGTGCTACTTAAGACTGCTTTTGTGCTCCAGGGTCACGTATGTACTATTGAACAATGTAGAACATTCAGTCATTGAAAAGTTTGGAATTATTTGAATTAATTATTTGAATTATCTATAAATATTTTTTTATTACTATTTTAATGTATTGCCAAATTCCAGTGCCCACTCAGAAAATCTGATTCTGACCAGCAAATTACACAAAACAACAATTTAATCCAAAATCTAGAATTTGCCATTGTCTTGCTCACTGTACTTATTTTAAACAGGAAGAAGTAAAATGCCATTTGAAGTGATTTAATCCTTCATGGTAAACGAGGAACATCATCTCTGTGTGTGTTTGTAGGTTTATCACTGGTTGCGGTAGACGAGGCTCATTGCATCTCTCAATGGGGTCATGATTTCAGAAGTGCGTATCGTGACCTGTGGAAACTCAAGAAAAATCTCCCTGGTGTAAGCCATATTTTTTTCTGAAATCTACTTTGTGTCATTATGAAGGTACAGACTGATATCACTGAAGGATTGATTTTGATCATTTATTCGTGTGTTTCCTAACATTTGACTTTAATCAGGTTCCTATTTTGGCGCTCACGGCTACTGCGAGTCCGTCTATCCGCGAGGACATCGTTAAGAGCCTTCATCTGATCAATCCTCTGATCACCTGCACCTCGTTCGACCGACCAAACCTCTACCTGGATGTCAACCGCAAGTCTGGTGACGTTATCCAAGACCTCAAACAATTTCTCATAAAAAAAAAAGGGTTAGGCCATGTTGATTCTTTTAGTAACTTGTGAGGAATATTCTTTGCATTTATTAAAGTATTTTGCACGAGAAATGTTTGAAGATTACTTAATGCAGTGGTTTTTAACCAGATGACCAGGACCCATTAGTACACAGTAAGACAATAAGTTGGAGAAAAAAACAGATGTAAGCTAAAATCATATTTTTATTATTTATTCCCTCAACATTTGCCTTAAAATTTTGAGTTCCAGGATTCTCACAATCTTGGAACATCTGCATTGGGAATTTTGTGTGGTGTCTAGACAAAATTTTAGTAATGAATGTAATATTTTCTAGTTGTGTCAAAATATTTAGAGTAGAAATTTCTAATTGTGAGTAAAACGTTTTTTTTTTTTTTTTAAATCCCAGTAATCGCAAACAACTTGAAAAGTCATATATGTGACCTTGGACCACAAAACCAGTCACAAGGGTCAATTTTTGGAAATTGAGATTTATACATCATCTGAAAGATGAATAAATAAGCTTTCCATTGATGTATGGTTTGTTAGTATATAGGACAATATTTGTCCGAGATACAACTATTTGAAAATCTGGAATCTGAGGGTGCAAAAAAAATCTAAATATTGAGAAAATCATCTTTAAAGTTGTCCAAATGAAGTCCTTAGCAATGCATATTACTAATCAAAAAATAAGTTTTGATAAATTTACGGTAGGAAATTTACAAAATATCTTCATGGAACATGATCTTAGTACCATAATGATTTTTGGCATAAAAGAAAAATCTATAATTTTGACCCATACAATGTATTGTTAGCTATTGCTACAAATATACCTGTGCTACTTAAGACTGCTTTTGTGCTCCAGGGTCACGTATGTACTATTGAACAATGTAGAACATTCAGTCATTGAAAAGTTTGGAATTATTTGAATTAATTATTTGAATTATCTATAAATATTTTTTTATTACTATTTTAATGTATTGCCAAATTCCAGTGCCCACTCAGAAAATCTGATTCTGACCAGCAAATTACACAAAACAACAATTTAATCCAAAATCTAGAATTTGCCATTGTCTTGCTCACTGTACTTATTTTGCCATTGTCTTATGTTACAGTATTGTTTTTTTTTTTTTGTAAGTACACAATTTTTGTTTTGTAGGGGTGGTTTTGAGTTTGAAGGCTCAGCCATTGTGTACTGCCCATCAAAGAAAGAGGCGGAGCGTGTGACAGCGGCGCTGTGTAAGCTGGACATCCTGTGTGGAGTTTATCACGCGGGTCTGAGCATCAAACGGAGGAGAGAAACCCAGCATCAGTTCATGAGGGATGAGATTCAGGTGAATGCCACTGAACGTCTTGCGTCAGAAACAGAATTGTTTCAGTATGTAACAGTGTTGGTTCTTCATGGTTTTGTCGCAGTGTGTGGTGGCCACTGTGGCATTTGGGATGGGCATTAATAAATCTGATATCAGGAAGGTCATCCATTACGGAGCTCCAAAAGAGATGGAGTCTTATTATCAGGAGATCGGAAGGGCCGGTAGAGACGGGATGCCCAGCGCCTGTCACGTCTTATGGGTGCCCGGAGATATGGCCCTGAATAGGTGACAACTCATCCTCATTTTTTTAATTAGTTCAGCTTACAATACTTTTTTTCTGTTGTAATTCTTAAAATATATCTTCTTTGTGATTTCCCTTAGATTCATTCTCAACCAATCGAAAAGTGAGCGCTTTAGAGATTACAAAATGGACATGATGGCAAAAATGGAAAAGTATTTGAATTCAACCAAATGCAGGCGAAAGTAAGTGAATTTAACTTTCTAACCTGTCCAGAATATGTCAACTCGATCCAAAGAAAGAAATAAACTAGTGCTGTCAACAAACGATTAATCGCATCCAAAATAAAAGTTTTTGTTTACATAATATATGTGTGTGCTGTGTATATTTATTATGTATATATAAATACACATGCATGTATATATGTAAGAAAAATGTTATGTTATGTTTTTATATGAAATATATTTCTATATAATATAAATTATATTAATATAAATATATAAATGTAAATACATGGAAATATATGCATGCATGTGTGTGTATTTATATATACATAATAAATATACACAGCACACACACACACACATATATATATATATATATTATGTAAACAATTTTAAAAATTATTTTATTTTTGGATGCGATTATTCGCGATTAATCGTTTGACAGCACTAAAATAAACTTAGTCGATGTGGCTGCTTAATAATGTCATAATAGTATAAGGAATTATTAAAAAGTTTTTATTTCTTTCTTTTGATTTTTGGCATGAAATGTGACAGTTTTACATATTTAGAAACACCTGCATTTGCACCAACTTTGATTAGACATTACTTTCTTCATATTGTAATATTTTAGATGATATTTTTAAACATGATGAATTGTATCCTAGGTTGATTTTGTGTCATTTTGAAGACAAGCGTCTGAGGAAAGTGACGTCTGGAATTATGGGTAGCAGTGATTGTTGTGATAACTGCAGGTCAGTGTGAGTAGGTCTGCTTTCTGTGTGTCTTCAGACTGTTCTAATAGAATCAGAATCTGAATCAGAAAGAGCTTTATTGCCAAGTATGTTTGCACATACAAGGAATTTGTTATAGTGTCACAAACTTCCAGTACACTGAGACAACAACAACACACAGATAATAAAAGTGAGATGTGAATAAAATACACATGCATAAATATAAACCACAAAAAAAAAAGAATAAATTGTATGTACAGGTGTGCTATAATAGAACTTAATAGTTCGTGAAGGATGATTTATTTGGGTGTGTTTTCAGTGTAAACCGAGAGGATCCAGAGGTGGTCCTGCAGGACTTTGGCTCGTGTGCGTATCAGCTGATGAAGGCCATCAGGGCTATGGATGAGAGGTTCGGCATCACAGCGCCCATCCTCTTCCTGCGGGGCTCAGTACGTCAAACAGAGAACCGTTTAACACCCAGTAATGTACAAAACTATACCCTGCTTTGACTTTGAGTCATAAAGACCTGGGGCCTCATTTATAACCATTGCGTACGCACAGAACCTGCCTGAAAGGGGCGTACGCCACTTCCTACACAAAAGGTGGGATTTATAAAAACAAACTTGATGGGAAAAGTTGCGCACCTGCATGCAAACTCTGACATATGCGTACAGACTTTTTTCCTGGAGAGAGAAAAGTAATGAAGTAAACAACGATTGAACTCTGTTTTCATTTTTTACATGTGAGTTAGAGCTTTACAAATGCATTTCTCATCCCTCTTTTAGACCTCTCAGCGGGTTCCAGATCACTTTCGGACACACTCTCTCTTTGGTATCGGCAGGGAAACCTCAGAAACTTGGTGGAAAGCTCTCAGCCGAGAACTTGTTGCTGAAAAATATCTGATGGAGACCACGGGCCACAGCAAATTCTCCACCCTCTGTAAACTCACACCCAAGGTACTGGCTAAAGATTAGTCATGAACTATTAAATGAAGAATGCTTCAAGTAATGTCACTATTGAGGGAGAAAGGAGAAAACCCCTCCATTCCGCCCCAAATAATTCAGCTGAAGGGACCCCTCCCTCTAATGAGTCTGTTCTGTGTGTCTCTGTGAGTGTAGTTTCATCTGGTACTCAAGACTGAGACTTTACGTGACTGAGAGTCACTTCAAGCTTTTCTGTCAAAACACACTGAAACTCAGAGCCCTTCACAACAACCTGCCAAAGTAATGGTCGGTTAACTTTAAGAAATTATGACAGAAATATATTACTTTTATTAAATGCTAAAATGTACTTCTGAAAGTAACAATAATAATATTTTTTTCAGGAATATAATAATAATAATAATAATAATAATAATTAATTACATTTATATAGCGCTTTTCTGGGCACTCAAAGTGCTTTACGTTGTCAGGGGGTATCTCCTCATCCACCACCAGTGTGCGGCATCCACCAGGATGATGCGACGGCAGCCATATTGCGCCAGAACGCCCACCACACACAAGCTCATTGGTGGAGAGGCGACCGAGTGATGAAGCCAATCAGCAGATATGGGAATGGTTAGGAGGCCATGATGGTCAGAGGCCAATGGGCGAGTTTGGCCAGGATGCCGAGGTCAAACCTCTACTCTTTTCGAAAGACATCCTGGGATTTTTAATGACCACAGAGAGTCAGGACCTCGGTTTATCGTCTCATGCGAAGAACGGTGCTTTTTGTCAGTATAGTGTCCCCATCACTACACTGGGGCATTAGGACCCACACAGACCACAGGGTGAGCACCCCCTGCTGGCCTCACTAACACCTCTTCCAGCAGCAACCTAGTTTTCCCAGGAGGTCTCCCATCCAGGTACTGACCAGGCCTAACCCTGCTTGGCTTCAGTGGGCAACCAGTATTGGGCTGCAGGGTGATATGGCTGCTCGGATTTATTGATTATATAGCATTGGATTTATTGTCTGGATGTATTTAAAACGGCCTCATGATGGTGATATTTATGTTGTAGTATTCAAGCACTGTAGGGTTCAAGCACAGACAGTGCTATATGGTAGTATATGGTAAAATTTTATTTTAATTAGGGCCCAAGCACAGAAGGTGCAAACACACTTCTTATATTTGTCTTATATTAGTTAAATTATTTCAGTTTCCACCATACAGATGTCACAAAATTTGTACAGTTTAATTTGTTGTAGAATTCAGTCTCTAAAAGTCTCTAATAAAATACAGGCTTGATGCATACAATTGTACATTTTTCACAAAATTGTGAAAAACCATTATATATTAATCAACATTGTAAATGTTTGACTCAGGGCAGATCATGGCTGAGTACAGCTGAAGATGAGAGGCACAGACGACTCCTGCTTCAGCCCAACAGAGATCTGTTCAGCAGAGTGTGTGTACCTCGGTAAGACCCTCACATCTTACCATCGGTGCACTTTATAGTTGAGGGCACATTGTGTCCCTGTGGCAAACCTGAGCCACCAGTCAAATTCAATGCATGAGCCAATTTGATGTTTATGAGAGGCCGTTAACATGGACAGAATTAGTTATTTTGTGATATATTTGGAACGGAGAGCAGACTGCATTATGTATATCCCTGTCATTTTACCATTTTTTTTTTTTTTTTTACCATAAATCGTTTTTATGATCAAATGTTTATCAATGCTGTGATAAGAGAGCTAAAACCTTCGTGGTACTGGTTTTCTATTGGGTGGGAACTGCCCTCCTGCTACGCTTTGTGTCATGAGGTGCTTTGCCAGAAGCGTGTGTTATGTTCTTTTGCTGCTTCTGCACAGATTCCAGTGCATTCATTCTAATACTCAGCTTAAATCTAACAAACATGTAGATTTAATCGTTTAATCGTATGTGATTTTTGCATTTTGTTTGCATTTTTCCCTAATATACCTAATGCAACATTGTGAAAGTTGTCCTTTTGTGGCATTGCAGAATAGTAGGCACTGGCCATTTTCCTACCATGCAAAACACAACGGCACATAGATCTCTGAATGCATTTTTATTGTATTCCTGATATGTCCTTGCAGGAAAAAAGCAGATCCAGCACATGTTGAGTCTACTGCTTCTAACCTGAAGTCAGATTGCACTCGGGTCAGTATCATCCATTAATGAATTCAGATTCAGATTTTTTTTTCTCCTTTTTCTCATCCCTTTAATGTATAATTTTACTTTTGTTTTCTGCAGCCCTCTCTTGTTTCATTTCAGAGGGCAAAGGTCAGTTCTGGAGTTTGCACCCATCAGATTGTGAAGAAAGCAGATTTACCATCCAGGTATGAATCATGCATAAATATTGTGAACTGACTTTTTGACTTTGACTGGCCTTTTTTTTTTTGCTTATGGTTTGTGTATTTCGTTCAGAGCTTTTCACCACTAAATGTGTCACATTTCAAAATTCCTAGGTTAGAGTTACATCTGTCTGTTTGTGTGAAAGATGACATTTAATCATGTATACAGATCAGCTGTTAGGCCAACCCAGATTCACAATAATTTCAGAGCCCAGACTCCAGCGGTCTCAGCTAGAGAGATCCAGCTACAGGTACTGAATATTAAACATTCGTGGTTCTTGTTTCTTAAAAGCAACTGGGTGATTTCTGAAGGACGCACATCAGTGTATGTCTCTGGAAACAACAGTCATTATCAGTTTTTCTCACTGTTTGTCTTATTTTTACAGTCTGAGCTGTATGGTAAGCTGGTTTCTGAGCGTCAGAAGTTAGCTGGTCTCAGAGACATCCCACCAGCTCTACTGGCCACCAATAAAATACTCCTGGATATGGCAAAATCAAGGTAATGTTGGCCTTTGGATGGTGTAGAATAGTGTAGACCTCCAAAAAGAGCATTTCCTTTAACTTTGAAGTCAGAGTTGCAAAATCCAGTCATTCCTGTAGAAATCTGTGCAGTTGAGAGTTTTGAGTGACCAGTAGAAATCTGCTTTATACATGGCTACGCTATTGACAAAACACTATGGACCTTTTTGGCCACAAAATTTTACTGAAATTTCACTAATGTGACTGCACTATGGAAGAAAATTAATGAACTGAAAAAAATAATGTGTTGTGTTTATATTTTAATGCTTTGTATTTTCAGGGCTTGCATTTTTAAGGGCTGACATTTAACATAGTTGTTTATTTAAGCTGTGAATATTTCAATTCAAAACAATTCACACACTTTTTCATAATTAATTCATATTCACCTTCCAGAATTCACTTCCGAAATATTCAGTTGTGTTTAAAAATACGATGTATACTATTCAACAGGCAATTTTCGATCCATTTTATTTCACTTTACAAATTCGCTTCCACAAATTGTGTGGTTAAAATTCGGCATTGCACATCCGGGAGCAGCAGGAATAGCAGTAGAGCACCGATGCATGATCTCCAGCTACTGTCAGTCACTCACCAGCAGGCACCTTAATTATTGAAAAAGCCAGCTTTGTACTGACGCTTAATGTTACATTTTATAGTCTTTAGGTAGACATGACATTTTGTTAGTGGTCATGTTTTGAAGTTTTTAATGTTTATTTCTTTGGCAGGCCGTGCTCAATATCCAGCTTGAAACAAGTGGATGGTGTTTCAGAAGCCAAAGCAGCCATGTTAACACCTCTGATTGAAGTCATCCTCACATTCTGTCAGACACACGGATTACAGGTACTGCTAAACACTGTGTATTGTACACTACATTGTTTACCAAGGCTGCATTATTTAAAGCATTTTACTATTTACAATTTACATTTTTAATTTGACTTAAACAGTGGTTTACTGAACAAATTGCTCTTTTTTTCAATTATAATTGAAATTTTCCTAGGGATAAAAATCAACCTCTGCTTATGCTCTATCTATATGGAGCCCTTGTACATTACTATAAGGTTACAATTAACAACAGAGCCCGAACTTAAATTGAATTACTGTTTAAAAAAAAAATAAAAAAAATAATCAACACTAAACATAAAAATGTATGCAACTGCATATAATGAATTTTTTTAATGAACTTCTGAATTATACAATTTTTATTTGTTGTTGAAATATTAATTTTCACAGTGGCTGTTTTATAACAGAATTATTTAAACGTACATTAAGTAATTAAAACATCACTAACAGGTAAAGTAAAAGATAATGAGTATATAGTCCAGTGTTTGCATTCAGGCTGGTAGAGATGCCCAAACAAACAGAAGTAATGCTTTGATATTACCACAGTGTGTTGTGTTCAACCAAATTATAATAATCAACACTAAACATAAAAATGTATGCAACTGCATATAATGAATTTTTTTAATGAACTTCTGAATTATACAATTTTTATTTGTTGTTGAAATATTAATTTTCACAGTGGCTGTTTTATAACAGAATTATTTAAACGTACATTAAATAATTAAAACATCACTAACAGGTAAAGTAAAAGATAATGAGTATATAGTCCAGTGTTTGCATTCAGGCTGGTAGAGATGCCCAAACAAACAGAAGTAATGCTTTGATATTACCACAGTGTGTTGTGTTCAACCTGCCACTGATACACTTCACCTTTAAGCACTTAGGGTTATTCTGTATTATGAATGTGTTCACAGTAGGGGTGTCCCCGACTAAGGATTTACAGTTGAATCAGAATTGTCGAATCTTGCCGATAGTCGAATCATATGTTTGGGAGTGGGGGGCAAAATACATGACCAAGAGTCAAGTAGCCAGACATTTGACAGTCATAAACATTGACATTAACACACAGGGAAAATGTGTAACGGATGCCTCACAGATACAAACAAGATAAATAATGTTTTATGTTTTGTTTTATGTTTTGATTAAAAGATAGGATAACTTGGTAAACATTAGCCGGCTGCATATCATGTTGTTTATTACTTATCAGAGCTGATGAAACTGAAGATTTGTACTAAATAAAACCAAATAATCCACATAAGATGAAATCAACAGATGCAAGGAGTATTCGATGAAACCCGTGTGCATGTTTACTCTAACTGTATAGAGATTTTCATGGAGGAAATTAACAATTACCCTCATAATTTTTCTGACTTTGAAGCATATACTGTACTGCTGCCACATAAAACTCTGTGCGATCGCCTAAATATGTGCTGCTGTGAAAACTGCTCAAACACAGCTAGTTTTATCCAGACCTGGTTCCAGAATTAAATACTGCGAGTGCTTCAGAGAGTGTGTTCTAGCCTCAATTCACATGCATTTTCACGTATATTTTTGTCCCATCCATTGCTCTTTTGAGTGTGAATCCCGCATAAATATGCGGATGCCATTCCTGAAACTGCAGCGTGTATGTGACCGAAAAATAAAAGTTCTATACAAATGGATTATATGTAGCCTAGAAAGCACACAGAGCACTGCCTTTATATTCACTAAAAAGCTGTCCGTCGTCAGCTTCACGATCTCGTTAAGTTTGGTAGGTTTTGCCAGATCAGTTACGCCAATATGATAGTGAATAGATAATATCTCAAGTTTTTAAGCGGGTGCTTAGCCATTCCCGAGCACCCACGGGATCAGCGCCAATGTTCACAGCATGCAAAAATCTAATTAGAACCGGCTGAAATGTTTTGAAATCACTTGCACCCTACCTGATCGAAACAAATCCAGTCTTTCACTCTGCCTGTCAATTTGAGTCTTGTTAAAGATTTAAATCCCTGCCACAAGATGCTCCTTTATACATTAATTTATACACTAAGCACCTCTATATAGCCAAAATGGCATGATCATAACACCTCTTTGAATATTGACCTGTGAGATTGGTAGTTGAATCAGGCTCCTCCTATCAAAGCATTAAATCTTCGACTATTCGGGGTCATCCCTAGTTCACATATGAAGTGTGCTGATGAACAAAATATGCAGCAGAATATATTTGAATACAGCAATTCAATACAGTACATCCGTGAATTCCTTTTATAGAGGTTACTATCTAAAAAACAAAACAAAGGACATAACATTATAACATTAAACATTTTTTTTTTTTTATCAAATTGAATGGTGTCCGCTTTCATGTTTTCTATGATATAAACAGCTCTTTCATGTCACAGCTCTTACTAGATCACCCAGAACCACATATCCATTTTATAGTGGATCTCAGTGGCTCAGGGCTTATGGGCTGATACGGTTCAGTATGAAGTGTTATACTGTATGCTAATGAGTTGTTCTGTGAATTAGGTGGATGATTCATCCAGCTCTACTCCACCTGTCCAAAAACAATCTAGCCATGAGTACAGTTCTGTGGGTCAGTTTCTACCGGACAGTGTCTCTGTCACACACAGACTGTTTCAGATGGAGTACAAGAGCATGGTACGACATTCACTCCTAATACTCCATTTTAATGTGGCATCTGTCTTGTTTTGAATGCTTTCTTATATGTGACCCTGGAGCACAAAACCAGTCTTAAGTAGCACGGGTATATTTGTAGCAATAGCCAACAATACATTGTATGGGTCAGAATGATTGATTTTTCTTTTATGCCAAAAATCATTAGGATATTAAGTAAAGGTCATGTTCCATGAAAATATTTTGTAAATTTCCTACTGTAAATATATCAAAACTTAATTTTTGATTAGTAATATGCATTGCTAAGAACTTCATTTGGACAATTTTAAAGATGATTTTCTCAATATTTAGATTTTTTTGCACCCTCAGATTCCAGATTTTCAAATAGTTGTATCTCGGCCAAATATTGTCCTATCCTAACAAACCATACATAAATGGAAAGCTTATTTATTTAGCTCTCAGATGATGTATACATCTCAATTTCGAAAAATTGACCCTTATGACTGGTTTTGTGGTCCAGGGTCACATATCCAATTATGTAGAATTACTCCCATCAATAGTTAAAAACACAGCAAAATAAAGGTGTCTGAGGATTTTTTTAAAATTACTACAGCAATGCACAACAATTAGTTGGGGTTGACAAATGTTAATTTCATGGATGTGTGTAGCATGAGACATACATTTGGTGTTTTTTTGGCATTTGTTAAATAGGACGATATTAAAGAGACAGGAATCAATGGGAGAGAAGACATTGCTAAAAATCCCATTTTAAAATAGTTTAGCAGCATTTTTTGTGCATGCTTCATTGCATCATCAACAACAGCAATAATAAAAATAAAAATGTGTCCTAGACTTTTTTATTTTACCACCAAGAATTCACCCTTTTTAATAAGACTTTGTGTGATTATTATCTTTATTACAATCTCAAGCCTGATACACCTCTTGGTATTTTTAAATCGTGCCCCATAAAATATATTAATTGCATTTTTATGAATGTAAAATATCTGGATTGCATTTTTATTATTTGAACATGTTTTTAGTGCTTTTTAAATGAATTTTGGATAAACATAATGAGCCTGATGTCATGAAGCCGGTATATTTTGATCGTGAAGTGGATGTTGGTGTTGTGTTGTGTAGAGACAGGTAGCAGATGCTCGCAGTCTGCCCATGGCAGCGGTGGAGTCTCATCTGTTGCAGGCACAGAAGATGGGCTGTGCTGTGGACACGGACAGAGCTGGACTCTCAGCCTCCATCTATAACACCATCAGAAAAAGCATCGCCTCTCCTCCACTCAGCTCAGGTTACACGCATTTCAGCAGAATACAATACAATATCTCTTATCCAAATGTGGAAAGGTTTGTTCTTCTAGAGCGCTATTTTTGGAGCTCAAGAGTTGGTGATTTTGTTCAAAAACTACTACTGAATTTATATTAATAAATTAATTATAGGTTACACTTTATTTTAAGATGTCCTTGTTACAGTGTAATTATAGAGTTAAGTACTGAGTAATATTAATTAACTAAATTAGGATTAGGGTTTGGTTTAGGGTTACTTGCATGTAATTATGCATAATTAATTGTTATTATAATAGTAAGTACATGTAACGTGTAACAGGCACACTTTAAAATAAAGTGTTACTCAATGATACAATTAATACAGTTAATTACTGAGTATTATTAATTAACATGTACTTACTATAAGGGTTAGGATTTGGTTTAGGGTTAGTTGCTTGTAATTATGTGTAATTTACTGATACTGTCACTGATTACTATAGTAAGTACACATAACAAGGACACACCCATCACTTGTATTGATTCTGTTTTCTTCCTGAACAGACCTGAGTGATTTTAAAGCGATCCGGTCTTGTGTGCCTGAAGATGTCAGTACCTTCCTGCTAAGGCTGGCGCTTTATGAACTCCAGAGAGAAGCTTCATCCACAGCACATCATGAGATCTCCTGGATCGAGCCGCTGGTGTGTTTCCCTCCTGCCACTTTGAACTCCAGTAGAGCAGTTTATTTAAATATTCATATTTGGCTGAAATGCACCAGCAGAGGACAGCACAGTGCTGTCACATGAAACACTTGCTGATTTGTTTGTAATATACTGCTAGCTGCTAACCTTACTGATTTCACTATTAATCATTTATTTATAGCTGCTGTCCATTATTTGTGTAAAGGTTTATCATTTCTTTCCTCTTCCTCTGCTGAGCAGGATTTTTCATAGTGTCTGATGGCTTATGATCCGATTCATGCAAAATACTAAAGTTCACTATGACTATTTTTACCTGTGCCATTAATGACAGGAAAAGGAAATGAGTGTTATCTTAGAAATCATGTACCAAGGTTTTAAAAAAATGAAAGATAGGTTAATACCTGCCATCAGTGTTTTGATTCAAGAAACATACTGTACTCAAAGAGTCTTGTAATGTGGCATGATGTAATCCATCTAAAACTACTTTATAATTATTAGATATGCAGCTCACATTGATTCAGACACTAAATTGAACATTTTAACTTTGTATTAATTATTTGTGTGCACAGAATGCTTCATGCTATTGCTGTTTATCAGCTACCAATTGACAAGTTTCAGCCAAGTCTAATGACATTGGCTGTGTTTACACTGGCACAAAAAATCTTATTTTTTGCACACATCTGACACAGATCGGAATTTGTTGTACACATGTAAACACAAAAATCCACTGTCATTAGACTTGGCTGAAACTTGTCAATTGGTAGCTGTTTACACTGGCACAAAAAAATCGTATTTTTTGCACACATCTGACACAGATCGGAATTTGTTGTACACATGTAAACACAAAAATCCACGCAAGATCCGATTTTTTTTCACATCCAATCTGAGCCACATCCAAATGTGGATTTTAATCAGATACATATCCGATATCTGGACATCTGTCAGATTTTGAGCTGCAAAACATCAACAGCTGTTGTCCATGCTGGCAAATAATAATGTGCATCCGACATGAATTAAATAAATTATTTTAATAGCATGGCGTACTACCATGTGCATAGTAAAGAGATCACTGATGTAAACAGATATCGGATACCAGACCTGTCAAAGTGAATGTAAACAGGGAGGACAAAAAAATCGGATATGGTCAAAAGATCGGATCTGTGCACTTGACTTGCAGTGTCAATGCAGCTATTGTTGAGCTCTTTGAGTCTCTCAGTGTCCTGACACTTTAGGAGACTAAGACTTTGATGTAACATCTGCTGTGTCTTTCAGACTGATTATGGCAGACCTACTTTATTTTTCTTAGCCATCATCATCTCCAGATGTGGGATCATCCGCTTTGTGTCCATGGCTTTGGGAGCTGTAGTACATACTTGTCTCACTGAAGCCTTTACTAGATTTTGATTGCTTTACTGCTGATGTCTTATAAAAAACATTGTGGATGTCTTGGCCAATAACTGCTTCCATGCTTGTGTAGGTGATGTTCTGTAATGGTCATGTTAGCAGGTGCGTGAGTCCCTGAGATACCTGTGTGCAGGGATCAAATGCTAACAGATGTGTGTCATCACTGTAGGATAAATCAGCGACTGCAGACAGACCTGCTGTTAAATGTGTGATTGGAGAGTCACAGCGTGAGGCAGACACCATGGACACAAGTGAAGATGAGCTCTTCATCAGTATTCCCATGCCACAGGTGACTCATATCTGACTGTCTCAGAATGACAATTACACAGTGAGTTTATCTGCGTATGTGCATACATTGTTTCTGAAATCAGTGCACATGCGGACAGGCTTGAGATGAAACACTGGTCTTTCATTTAGACTAATTCTGATCTCTAGTCTACCTTCTGCACACTGAACTTGTAGTATTTACTTACAAAAATCTTCGTAAAAGTTTGAGTAATTTTTATTTAGTCAAAGCTTACTTGGTAATATTTAGATTTTACTTAATATAGCACCTAATTAAACCATGCTTTTAAAGTGTATGCAACTTAGAAACATCTAAGTAAACAATACAATAGATATCATGCAGACACCATATCTACATAATTAGTAATGCGGCACTCATCTGAACACAGACACTTTAATACTCTGTACACAATACACGATGATGGTTACATTCTGTGGTTCATTTTTGAGTATGAATGCGTCATTTTGAGTAGAAAATAAACACCAGATGTAACAAAATCACAAGCTACTAAACATAACAACAAAAGCAATGATAAAACAGTGTAAATACCTTAAATACCTTACTCTACCTTATTAATTATTCATGCCCCAGTGCATGATGGTAACACCGGTATCAGAAAAGTTGAGTAGGTTTTACTTATTGTTATAACATCTATATTTACGCTTTAACTTCTACAAGCTTGAATTGAGAACAAGTATAGAATTTACTTTTTTTATTTTATTATTGCCTGAACTAACTTTTATATGTGACCCTGGAGCACAAAAGTAGTCATAAGTTGCACAGGTATATTTGTAGCAATAGCCAAAAATACATTGTATGAGTCAAAATTATAGATTTTTCTTTTATGCCAAAAATCATTAGGATATTAAAGGGGTCATATGATGCGATTTCAAGTTTTCCTTTCTCTTTGGAGTGTTACAAGCTGATTGTGCATAGATAAGATCCCTGAAGTTGCAAAGACTAAAGTCTCAAAACCAAAGAGATATTCTTTATCAAAGTTAAGACTCTGCCACGCCCCCCTAAAACGGCTCGTTCTAACACGCCCCCACATATCTACCTCACTATGTGGAAATATTAGCATAATGCCGCCCAAATGTGCACGCAAAGAAAGAAGGCGTGGTTTAATACATCAATGCAAAGCTTATTTATTCAGCTTTTAGATGCTGTATAAATCTAAATTTTGGAAAAATTGACACTTAAGTTTTGTGGTCCAGGGTCACATATAGAAATTACATGTTTTTCTGTAGTATTTACTTCACCACAGAATCATTTTTATCAGTGCACAGAAGATTTTTTATTTTTTTGTCTGTGCCGGGATCAACATGTGAAGTCTGCGGTAATACATGTATACTTTGATGACAAGTGCCATAAATGTTCATACTCTGTCTGTTGTTTAGTTTCTAATTGCGGCTCTAAAGGTTGATCAGTGTTGAGTGTGTGGTGTACTTCTGCCGGTGTGTACAGGATTCCTGTCTGAAGTCATGTGACTCCGTTGCTCAGAGCAGTGGAATGGATCTGACCTCCTGGAACCAGGATAAACTGGATAAAGACACGCAAGATCTCTTCAGCGATTCACCTGTGAAGGTATGATGTGTTCTTGCTGAGCCTTTAAAGAACTGGACTGATGAATAATATACTCAAACACATAATTCAAAGAATAATACACTACTGTTCAAAGTTTGGATTCATGACACATGAAATTGATCAAAAGTGACAATGACATTTATAATGTTAGAAAAAGGTTATATTCTAAATAAGTCATATTCATCAAGAATAGTGGGGGGGGGGGATCCTGTGTTACGGTTTCCACAAAAATATGAAACCGTTTTCATCTGATAATAATCAGTAATGCTTCTTGCAAATCTGCATATTAGAATGATTTCTGAAGATCATGTGACACTGAAGACTGGAGTAATGATGCTGAAAATACAGCTGCAGATCACAGCGGTTACATTTTAACATATATTGAAATAGTTATTATAAATTGTTATATTTCACAAAATTATTGATTTTACTGTATTTTTGATTAAATAAAGGCAGTATTGGTGAGCAGAGGAAACAGTCTTACAGATCAAAAACTTTTGAATGGGAGTTAACTCTGCAGATGCAGTCACTAAATGAAAACATGTGAATACATTACAACACTACAGAATCTGAGAAATGCATGACGCAATTTTCACTTTATATGCATTAATAATAGAAAATGTACAAAGATAAATTTCTAATTTGTATTTGTTGACCTGTACATGTGAAACATATTTTTAGAAAAGCTTTTGGGAAGAAGTGTTCCCTGCATTGCTTTGATTTTGACAGCAATATTGGGTACAGCAAATTATTTTATTAAATGTAATAGACATTGTGTATATGAAAGAAATGTAAAAATTCTTGGGAAAATGTGAATTAGTAGTAAAAATAGTAGAATTATCAGAAACGTAACACTTGATCTTTATTATTGTTCAGTACTTTCTGAACACTGTGTAAGTATCATTGTGACACATGGTTTAACTGTTTTCGATGAATGTGACACCTTCAGACTTAAAACAGCTAATCACATGATGTTAACAAGGACATTTTTAGACAGTAATCTGAATCCGACCCTTGGTTCAGGTGTAACCCTGTCTGCTAGAACGATTGAACATCAGACAGCCTCCCCTGAAGTGATGAGCGCTGTGTGCTGCTTTATCGCCAGCCAACTGTCTTTAACCTCCGCTTGACCTTTGACACGGGCTATTACCCGATACCTCCCCTTGTAAGCTCAAAGCCATTAAGGTCATAAGGTTGTGACCTGTGTCCCTGTGCTCCACGTCTGATCTCCAGGAGGTGTGACAGGATGGAGACGTCTTTATTGTTAAGATTGTTCTCTGTTTCTTAAAAACAATAGAGAAAGAGGTTCAATGAAATTATAAATATTACTAACACAATGCAATAATACTGCTTTTTATAAAGACTAATGTATTGTATAATGTTGTATTTGCAGTTCAGGTCTTTTCCAGTAAATTCCAGCCATTACTGTCTAGTGTGCTTCTCTCTGACCTGTTAATGTGGAGATGAATGGTGATAGAAGCTTGTTTGAGAAGCACGTCCATCATGGCTCTTTTGTCCTGCAGTGACACAAGCCTGTAGATCAATATGAGATCATTAGGGCGTCTCTAAACACACCCTCCCTCCTGATGTTCCCTTGCCCACTCAAAATGATTTAGCATGAAGACTGAACAGATTGCAAGACAGGGAAGATAAGAAGAGCTGTCTGGGAGGAAATGGAGTTTGGAGGGATGTATAAATGTCTCGCAAAGAATTGTGATGGACATTAATCCGATGGTGGGCAGTGCTGGGTTTTCCTCTGTGGATGCAGCTGTCTGCGTCATGTAAACCGTCACGTGATGATGTGCTGTGGCTATAAGCCAGCACTAGTTGGTTGTGAAGCATCACTTTGTTGAACCGTCTGCACAGTTGAAGGGCTATGCCATTTGGATGAATGCAGTAAAATTCAACATGAAATTAAAATAGTTACTTTGGCCTTTATTTGAAAACATTATTCATCTCCGTCCACACTAAGACTTTGTTTTTGTCAAGGAAAACTGAGCTTTTTGAAAACTGAGCTTTTTCTCCAAAGTGGATACATTTGAAAATGCGGTTTTTCGCGTTGTAGTATGGACTGTGAAAACTAGGGTTGGGGATCGAAAAATCAATTCCAATTCCAGAATCGGATACTTAAGGACAGGAATCGAATACTTGTTGGAAAATTTAAATGTCAATTCCTGTGTGCACAGGAGGGTGTGCACTGTTTTTTAGGGGGCAAAAAGGGGGTGTTAAAAATGTATTTGTCTTTGAATCATTCATTCAAGAGATTCATTCAAAAACACTTGATTCGTCCAGTAATGAAACAAGTAAATCTAGAGTGAGTCCTTGAATCATTTCATTCATAAATTCCATGAGATTTTGTTTAGTTGTCTAATATTTTTTCTTCAGAAAAAAGAGAGAGAACTACAACTTGCATTATAAATCTAAATTTATCCAGAATCGTGCAGCTCTATTTTGCACACAAACAACTATTAATAGAGTCCAGTTTTTATGTAGCCGGCTGATTTTTGTTCATGGTATTCAGCAGCAATTAAATGTTTTGCAAAAAGAGACACAGAATAAATATGTTTGATATCTAAATGTTTGACTTAATTGTTTTGTAACCACATTGGAATCGAAACTGGGAATCAATAAGAATTAGAATTAATAAAATACAAACGAGACCCAACCCTAGTGAAAACGATGACGCACTTTAGTCATGTGACACATATTGTACCAATAGATATCTGTTTATAAAAGTGCTGTCAAACGATTAATCGCGATTAATTGCATCCCAAATAAAAGTTTTTGTTTACATAATATGAGTGTGTACTGTGTATATTTATTATGTATATATAAATACACACACATGCATGTATATATTTAAGAAAAATGTTATGTTTATATATTCAATATATCTATATATTATATAAAATATAAATGTATATACTAGGGATGTGCGCGACGACTAATTTGACTGTCGTTTAAATGACAAGTTTTGTATCCGACTAGTCGACTTGTCTAAAAGCAAGAAACCCCCAAAAGATGGTAAGAAAAAAAAAACCTCTGTGCGTGTAGCATATATAATAGCATATATTTGAAATACTTCATCTATGAATCACACTGTCAAATCCCTCAATGAATTCCGCTTGCCGCACACTTGCCTCGCGTTATCATCATTTCATTTTCACAGATGACAGAAAATGTACTCGTGATTGCTGTTTGTGGCAAAACATGAGGGCAGTTGCGTTTTAGATCAGACATACAATTGTGAGTGACCTGAATGCATCAGTGAATGGTGAGTCATTTTCCTAAATAAAATGATCCTGCCAGAAGAATTGCATGAAATCATCTGTTCCGTCTGTATTGTCTCGGTGAGCTTTTCTGAGGCTTTGTGCATGCGCAGTCAAGCGAATTTAACGTTTTCTGGCGTTTCAGTGTGGATGAGAAACTTTTGGAAAACGCTAATGTGGACGGAGAGCGTTTTAAAATGAAAAGGCTCAGAATTAAATTGACCGGATTGAAAGAGGTGGTGTAGACCTGAAATAATCAGAGATGCATATGGTTACATAATGTTTTATGATCGTGCATATGTTTATTTGGTCACACTTAAGTTTGGAGAGCAGTTCTCACTATTAACTAACTATTAACTATGACTTGCCTCAGTAAACGCTTAATTACTGCTTATTAATAGTTAGTAAGGTTAAGGGATCTAGAATATGATCATGCAGAATGAAGCATTAATATGTGCTTTATAAGTACTATAGTATAACCTGCCAGTATACTAATAATATGCATGCTAGTAATAAGCAGTTAATAGTGAGAATTGGTCCCCAAACTACTGTTTATTTTTATCTCACATCTTATGAACTGGTCAGTGGAGGAGACTGAAAATGTGCTAAATATTTGCTAAAAAGCTCTTGCTGATATATACAGAGGGTACGGAAAGTATTCAGACCCCCTTAAATTTTTTCACTCTTTTTATATTGCAGCCATTTGCTAAAATCATTTAAGTTAATTTTTTTTCCTCATTAATGTACACACAGCACCCCATATTGACAGAAAAACACAGAATTGTTGACATTTTTGCAGATTTATTAAAAAAGAAAAACTGAAATATCACATGGTCCTAAGTATTCAGACCCTTTGCTCAGTATTTAGTAGAAGCACCCTTTTGATCGAATACAGCCATGAGTCTTTTTGGGAAAGAGGCAACAAGTTTTTCACACCTGGATTTGGGAATCCTCTGCCATTCCTCCTTGCAGAGCCTCTCCAGTTCTGTCAGTTTCTTAAAAACGACGCCAAAATGTCTTGAGTAAAACTAACTGCAGGCTGATTCTCTTTGTTTCCACAGATTGAAAGTCAGCCTACAAAGAGAAAACTGCCTGATTGGGCTGAAGGACCAAGCACTTCAGCACCTGCTACGACTGAGAAGAAAACCAAAAAGAAGAAAGGGCTTTTCATTTGATACTTATTAGGCTGTGAGGTGTACATTTTGATATTTTGTACAAGATTTAAAATAATTCATTTTTGTTGATGGTCCTGAATACAGATATGACCTAATTCTACGAGAATGTCTTGTTATTTTTCTGTATTTGTTCTCCAAGCTTGAACTCCTCTAGGTATTTTTCAGATTTCTTACGGCTCACACACTAGTTAGGGAATCTTTCTTGATCTGCGTACATCATGTTTCTGCTTCCGTGAGTGTCCTGGAGCTGTACGCTACTGACCTCCACCTGTCGTAATGGAAACCTCCCAGAATCCCGTGCAACTCCCAGACCTCAAAAGTAGGGTCATTTCTGAAGCATGGTGGGACTTTCTTTAATCAGTTCATTCCTGAGTGTAAAAATATGAAATAATTGACCTGAGATGATATGATTTTGATAGTTCAGAATGTTTATTGCCAAGGAACATATTCTTTAATTTGTAAAAAAAAAAAAAAAAAAAAAAAAAAAAATC